ACCCATCCACGCGCTCGCCGGGTGGTCATGCCCCTTTGGATGTGTTTCACGACGTCAGCTCCCAGCATAGCTCGAACCTGCCTCGCCATGCTTCCAGCAAAGTCATATGCAGTCTCGAGAGATGCATGAGTCAATAAACGGACCCCTCGATGCGGAATGCCATACCTGTTTCGACTACTGCGACAACGACGTGCCCAGTGGTGCGCCACCGAACGATGTGCGGTGGCCAGCGCCACGCTAGTTCGGGGTAACCACTTCAAGTTGCCGATTGGAAGGTGGCGGGACCTGATTGGTCGATCTGAAAAACCGAGTCGAGCTAGATCGCGGCGGATTCGGGACGTTGGCATTTCGGCGGCGGCGCCAAAGTTCGCGAGCGTGTTTCGGAGCGGAGCCATCGGTCCCTGGATCGCCGTTGATGTTGCCGCTGGCCTGGCTGAAGAAAGCACCGAGGGAAAGTGTTCCAGACTGTTGCCGTCGACAGGCCAAGGCAGCACCTTCGACCAACAAGTGTTCTGCGTCGTTCAACGTGTACGACGGAATTAGCTACCGTTTTGTCGATGGCACGGCAAAGCGCCGGCTGTCGTCGACGGTCGGCGGCCAGCGCGTGCCGTTCGAGGTGGCGCAAGTGCAGTCCCTCCGTCGAAAACGAGACTTCTTGGTCGGCCTCAGCTCGATCGAAGAAGAAAAGCACGCCATGTGCGAGAGTTGCCACTCGTACACGTTCAGCCGCCTCTCCAAGACGAAATGCATCACGTTGACAATGACCAGCGCCACCAAACCACGGAAACCGACGAAAGAGACCAGGATCCGCCAAGCTGCTCCTCCACAGCCAACTGACGGCATCACATGCGCTTGAGCGCCTACTGCATTGCTTAATTTTACGTTTTCATGGCGCCTAATGCATGGATGTGTTCGAAGGCTCTTGTTCCCATCTTTACTTGCTCACGATGAGCTGCAATACAACCATACATGGAGGGCGACGAAAGGCCATCGATTGATCCTGGCATCGCCATCGCTTCGTGAATCCCACCACCTGACAACTGGACAGCCGAGTCGGCGCCTGCATGGGAAGGGTTTACCCTTTACCAGTCGTGGGCACGTCGGGTCGTTGATGGTGCAAATACGCGTCGGAATCGCCGGGGAATCAAGGACGCCGACCAGAGGACAAGTTGGAGACTGCACAGTCTTTCCGCCATCGCGACGAGGCCATTTGTACCGCCGCGATGGCGGAAAGATATGTGGTACGAGATGGGGTCTTCGTCAAGCAAACTCGACGATAAACAAGCGAAACGAGCGAGCAAAACGGCGCTGACGTGCGCGGAGGAAGGAGGGGGCGTCCCGTCGCTGCCCGTTGGCTGGGCTCATGAGATCATTGGCACCACGTACTCCTTGCACCATACTGGTCTTCGTTTACATGCCAAGAACATATCAAGGTCACGCCAAGCGCCAGGGCGAGGGCCAGAACGTCATCTCGCCGCGCTCATCACGAGGGACCCGCAACAGGCTCATCCTGGAGGTGGTCACTTCGTAGCGAATGCCGGCGGGGAATCGTTTGGCAAACGATGCCATATTCCGGCGATACGTTGCAAGATCTCGTGCCAGGCTATCGATTCGCAAGTAACGGGGAAATGCACGTGGCGAATCCACGAAATCCAACGAGACAGTCAAAAGGCGGCCAGGTTCTGTCGGGCGCACCACACCCTCTGTCCCTCTGGTGGTTGCGCCATAGTCCTGGTTGCAGTGCCTTCGAAACTCCACCTTCAGGCACAATTCGATCTCGCATCACATCCGTCCTGAGTTTCATGCGCACTCCACTGGTTATGAGCCTTGATACACCTGCACTGCTGTATTCCACCAAGTTTGAGTCGTGAGGTGCACCGGCCCCGTGTGATGCCGTGGACGGCTTGGTTTCAACGACATCGGGGTACCGAAGCCGCCGACGCATGAAATGGCTCCTCGCTGCACACCATGCGGCGAAACCAGGATATCCTACACGTGTGGAGGCTTGCCGCAGCCGCATCTTGACCAACCGCGTTGGGAGGCGAGTCGTACACACCCAAGCTCACGAGGCGAGGTCGGGGCACTGCTCCGGCTGTGCGAGGGCTAAGTTTGACGGTAGCAACTCAGCGATGATTCAGGACGATGCAGCAGTGACGACGTCGATTTGCCGGTAGTGGCAATGCAGACAGATTCCATGGATGTGCTGGTGCTGCTTTGTCGTGGGATTGACGCGTGTTGACGTCGCTGTCGACGACTGAGGATACCCGATCGGTCTCCATGGGAGGGCAACGGATTTTTTCCATGAGGAAAGTGCCACTAGAAGGCGCAAGCACATTCTACCGCGCAGCAGTGCTGTTCTGAGCATGGCACATTCACCACATTGGGCACACGATCGGATGGACGCCGCTCGCTTGGGACTCGTTTCCAGTTGAGCGGTCGCAAGCCACGAGCCAAAAACGCATTCGCATGCCCCGACTCTGTTGCTTGTGACGACGCGCTGTCGGACGTGGACTGGTTGCTCTGACCATCGTCGCAGCAATGGTGATCACGGCGAATGACAGTTTAGATAGCCGTGTGATTCACTGTCCTCTTGGCCAAGTGTTGGGTCCCGCCGACTGCGTCGCCGCCACACGCAGGGCAAACTGAGCGCAGCACGAAGAGCCGCGACTGCGACTCGCGATCACGCCGTCGAACCGATTGCATTCGACGTGGGGAAGCCCCCCCACGTCGTGAGGACCCCCACAACGCTCTGAATCGTCGTTGATCGTCGAGTCAAGGGTGCTCGCTCGACGTTGTGTCTAGCCCCACCACGACGCCATTGCCGCAAAAATGACCCTCACCACGACCACTTCAACATCCGCTACAACGAAACACGTTAATTCGCCAGCGAATTCGCTGTATCCGTTGACACCTCTCAGCGCGAATGGCGGCGGCGTGTAGTGCCCAGCTCGGTTGGTCGACAGAGAGCGAGCCGTCACAAGTTGGATGGGCCAACTGTCCGTCCAGGGATCCCGGCCAGCGGCGTCTCAGGACGACGGCTGGGACACGGTTTGCGGCGGCTGCGAGATTTCCAGGTGCGCAACGATTCAGTTGCGCGCGCAATCACACCACGAACGGCTGGTCGTCGTTGGTGGAACGCGCCCGTGACAAACCCGCGCCTGTGACAGCACCGGGCTGACCACTCGGGACACAAGTCACGTGGATGCTTCCCGAGAGTTCTCTCGCACGCGACTCGTCCTGTTCCCCAGTGGATTCCGCGCGCATCTTGTCGAATGGAATTGCGGTGGCGCGGTCGAGCCATGCCCGTCCCATGCGCACCATGCCGCAAAGGCCGACATGGCGCCCTCGATGTACCCCATCGCGCGCATGACGCGCCGCGGCAGGACACTTGGAACGCGCCCAAACATTCAAACGAAGGCGCTGGGCAGCCCTCACGACGCGACTGCATCCTTCGGTTCAGCGAGTTGCCGGCCGCAAAACCTTGACCAAGGTGGCACCGTCCACAAACGTACAATGTACGATGTACGGGCATATAAGAGGCAAGTGAAACAAATACACGTTTGTGGTATGGTTGTACATTCTGTACGCCGCCCACCACGCGACCGTGGCACATCGTCAAGCTCGCCACTGAATGCACACCCGGCTGCGGTGGGGCCACCGCCGCCGCTGCCTTCATAATCGCACTTACGATCCGCTGCCGACGCATCCACCGCCATGGCCGACATGCAATGCAAGTATGCGTACAAGGAATGCAGCAACGCTCGTACATACAAGCGCGACGGCGGCCTCCACCGCCTGTGCGAGTTCCACCGCAGCAAAGCCAACGCGCTGCAAAAGGTGTACGCGACAAAACGCCGAAGTGAGCTGCGCGCACAAAAGCGGCAGCTCCTCGCCGGCAAACTCGTGGTCAAGACGGAACCCGTCGTGCCGCCTTGCGCCGGTGAGCCCCACGTCGACCAGCCAAACTGGGACGTCGGGATCGAGCCGTTTGTTGTCGCAGACGATGTCGACTGGTGCGCATTGCTCGTCCCCGAGTCCACCGACGCGGTCGACCCGATTGAATTCTGCGCCGACATGAAGGCCCTTTCCGACGAAGAATGGATGTACCTTAGCAGCGCGCTGTAGCGTAGATCGAAGCCACCTTATTTAACTTGCCCGTCGCCACCATTCCCCCCTCGTTTGGTCGTCCCAGCCAACTTCCGCGCAGGGTGAACGACACCGTGCTCGACGCGATAGCGCATCGTGCCATCAGCACCGGAAAGCAGCACGGCTCGCGCAACGAAGCTCGGCGCACGGATCGCAGCCGGCTGGCGGCGGTTTGACCGCCGCTCGAGGGGTGTCGGGCCCTCCAAAACACTGCCTGGCCAACATGGGGCGGGCGGGCAAAGGGTAAAGTGGTACGACAGAGTGTACTCGTAATCGGGCAAACTTTCGGCGGGCGCCGCGACGGTGGCCGACCACAGTTGGATCGGCTGCAAACCTCTCGCCGCCTCCTCGCGTGGCATGGCCCCTTTGGATTCGCGTCGATCGAAGCTCGAGCCATGTGTTGGGGAATGCTGCATAGGAGGACGACAGCGTGGCAGCAACATCCAGCACAGCGTAGCGAGCGTCTCCAGTCCGTGTGTGGTTGGTCGGCGGTGCAGGATATCGGTAGGTGGGGATGCGGTGGAATTTTCGGTCCCCGTGCCCCCAGCGTTCATGTCGCTGTGCCCCCACATTCAAGTCGCCGTAATCTATTCGCAGAAGGACGCCACCTACCGAACGCCATCTCGCGGGGCTTTCACTCGGCTGCGGACGACCCCCTCGAATATGTACGTACGTTGCTCCTGCCATCCGTAGAGAGATATCGCCGTCGTTCGTGACGAGGTAATGGGACTCGCGATGGGGCTGGAGTCGTCTGAGTCATTGGCCTGGCGGTCCGTGAAGAAGAGGATTTGCGCACACAAACCGCGATGGTGGGGCTTCTCGCCGTCGAGGCTACTTGACAGTCCAGCGCGCGATCCAGCGAATGGCCCATCCATATCCAACGCTTCGAGGGGGACGTGCGGGGAATCGCCATTCTCCAACTATTGCTCAAGGCGCCACCATGTCCCCCAACAACGCGTTCTTGGCTGTGTGCGGCGGTGTGGCCAAGACCGGGTCCAGCGCCAAGCGCCGCCTTCTCGCCACGTGGAGCAACCCGTTTGGCCTGTCATCGTCGCGCCAAAAGTGCCATCCCGCGCCACCGCCGCTGCCGGCGTGCTGCGAGAAGCGCCTCCACACGACGACGGCCTCGGGGGACGATCACCCTAAATCCCTTGTCGTTTACAAGCACGTGAATCGACGACACATGCGCAACCAAAACGCAATCGTCGGCGGCCACCGCGTTCCATTCTTCCCTGCACACAACGCCCACCATCGAGTCGCACGCAGCAAGGGAAATGTGCTGCCCCGAATCGACGAAGACATGGGCCATAGTTTATGCAGCGTATGCCACAGCCACCACTTGCAAGAAACCCCCGCCGTCGTCAGCATCACATTGTACTAAAACGTGGACGACCGAAGTCCACCCAGCCGCGAGCGCCTTCGTATGCAGCACTTATTTAATTCGAAACCATGCTGACCTTTCTTCACGATTGCCGCAAGCACCATTGCCCAGGGCGAAGCCAAGGACGGGCGCGCCCTCTCGACGTTTGGAACCACACAGCACAACAAGCGATGGCGTTGCATGTGCAGCGACGGATAACTAAAACCAGGCATTGCTCACGGGGAGCCGCTCGCATATACCCTTGCGGACGCAGGAGCATAAATACGCTCTTGTGACAACTTCCCCGTGTGGCGAGTGTGCTGGTTGGGGTCCCCTGGCCGCAGGGGTCGGCTCGCAATGACCCAGCGGGGCAGGGGCTCGTGGAGTGCATCGGCATGCACTATCTCCACTGCATCTTTCAGCTTGATCGAGCGCGTTTCGAGGTCGGTCGTGCGTGATATCGGCGCGCCTTGTCGTTGAATCCAGCCACCAGACACCCAGCATGATGGCACTTCGCACGATTAAATTCACTAACGTACCTGACTCCCCAACGTACGGATGTTCGACGTGCGATGTACATATTGAAAACTTGATTAAACTATTGAAGGTACATACTCCAACCTGTACGTACGTGATTGGCATGGGTGCAACGGTTGGAAAGGGCATGAAATGTTGACATGAAAAATTACCACGACCCCAAGCGGATCGACATCTCGTGGGATTGCTTGGCGTCACGGCGGGGGTCGTGCCGGACGGGTGGCTCGCTCCCCACAACGTTATTTTTGAATCCGCCGACCCCCACTAGCATGTCCGACATGCAGTGCAAATACGCGTACAAGGAATGCTACAACTTGCGCACCCTACGACGCGACGGTGGCATCCATCGCCTCTGCGAGTTTCACCGGAGCAAAGCGAACGCGCTGCAAAAGGCTTACGCGACGAAGCGCCGTAGGGAACTGCGCGCCCAGAAGCGCCTCGTCCTTAACACGAAACTGGGGCCATTCGAACCCGTCCGATTTGTCACCCCCGCACCAGCAAGCGTCAACTCCACCCCTCGTGCAACGATCGACCTGTGCGATATTGTATATGCAGACTTTGTCTGCCCGGTTCACGAATGCGCAGTGGCCCGGATCGACGACCAGTCGGACGTTGAAACACTCTCAGACGACGAAGTCGCCTTCTTGAACGGCGTCTTGTAGGTAGAATCCTGCTCGTGGCGTGTGTGTCGTAACTCCGTGTCAAGCATGCTGTCTTCGCTCCTTTGAGGTGTGGGTTCGAGCTAAGGCTGGCTGGTCTTGGCTACCCCAGTACCCCAGCACAACTCGGTTGCGTTTCAAAACAGGGTGAACTCGCCGTCGACTTGGTGGTGAAGCCCCCCCACACTCCCTTTCCCGCGCATGGCTGTGCTGCATGGAGGAGAAGAGGCCAAAGTAAGGATTGGTTGTCATTTCTCTTGATGTTGCGGTTCCAAGCACAGCAACGGTAACGCAATAACAGCGGGGGCAACCCTCTCAAACCCATCAACGTAATGGATTTGTTGGAACTCATACGTTCTGGTAGCTTGTTCCACGTGGGGATGGATGACCTCAACTTGGGCAAGTTCAGACAAACCCTGGCCGCTCGAAGCAGGACACCGACAGCTGTCTGGAGCATGTGCAAGAGGCTGGACAGCGTGCGCCCCCACTTCCTCCGCGATTACTCAGACTTCGACAAATCGATTGGTTCAAGCCGTCACAAACCAGGGGATGTGGCAGCGACTATCCTGCTGCCCTTGGGGATCTCAGACCGCCACGAATTGAACTCGCGAATTCCCCCCTTTCGTCCTCCGCATCAGTGGGGTTGCGCCAGGCAAGCCCTTCCTCTGAACCGTAGACCCATTAACGGCACACTTGTGGCGGCCGCGGACTAGCAAGCTTGCCCGAGGACATTGCACAATGGCCCTCCAATCAATTACACGGCGTGGGTTTGGGCGGAACGAACGTACCCCCCCCCTTCCCTTCACTCCCACTAACCCCTCAAGGTGTCAATGGTGGCCCCCTTTGCATGATCAGTGGGCGACTGGACGCGTCCGAGTTCATGTATATTCGGGAATGGTTCTCTCGTGTTCGCAGGAAAATACGCTGCGTATTTCTCGCACTTGCCACTTCGACTCAATTTCGTCGCCATTGTCACTGCCGCTGCACGGGCACAAGCAAGTGCTCTTGCTTGGCTGAAGATCTGGTCATGTGTCCAACAAACCTCCTCGACACCCCGGTCGAGCTGTCATGAGGACCACGATGGGTGCTTCTCCCCACAATGCGCGAACGATCCAGGCAGAGCGGGCGGTGCCAAGGGGCTCGGCACGCCCCAGACGACGGGCGGCATGAACCACCAGACGAAGCGTCGACATGATGTCGCTGCAGAAATTGTCCCAATTCCATCGTTCGGGGTTTCGTAAAATATTGCCAAAATCGACCTGAATTTGTCCGAACACTGAATTTTTTTGCGCATTTTGATTGGCTTGAACATGTTGGGTCAAACACGAAGTGTGAAATCGACAGTATTGTTGGCCAATCAGATCGTTGATTTATTACAATATTTTGGACGATTTGGCGAAATTTCTGGAAAAGCCAAGGAGTCAAGTATGCAGGAGAACTGCCAGAGTGGGATCGGCGTCAAGTACCCGTCGACGACACTGACCTTCCAGTCCCGGCTGCTGCCTCCAACGTGCGCAGCCGCTGCGTCGCCCGATCCGTCCTTTCAAGGCAGCGTATGCAAGAAGAGGAAGTCTGTGGCTTCAACTTTTTTCTCCCATGACTTAAAATGTCCATGGAGCGGGTGGATTTCAAGCGTCCCAACCCCTGATTTCCTTGGACTCCGCTGGTCGTTCCAGTCCACTAAACCTTGGACTCCATTCTGTGCTTTCTTCCTGTGGGCTCCGGTTCGATGCTGAATGGTGTGCCGTCGACAGGCGATCGGCGTGAGTTAGCGAAAAATGTTTAATGTACGGTATGAACCAAGTACATAGTACATGTTGTGTTGGTTTATACGGATTACCTAGTCTACGACGTCGTACATACATTGATTTGTTGTACATTGCGAACCGTCCGTTGATATCCATCCGGGACCAAAGCAATCCGCCACCTCCCCATCCTCCCGTGTTGGGCACTTTGTATTTCAGCGCGAGCGACAACTCACATTGGCCCGCCATGAGTGACCCGTTGTTGTGCAAATACGCGTACAAGCCGTGCACGAACCCGCGCGTGGCGAAGAAGGACGGGGACCTCCACCGCTTGTGCGAGTTTCACCGAGACAAGGCAAACGCGGTGCAGAAAATTTACGCGACTCGGCGACGGCGTGAGCGGCGGTCGCAGCGATTGCAGATTTTGGTTCAGCGACTCCTAGGCACGATCGAACCCGTCCCGTTCGATTCACCGGGACAGCCAGAGGACGAGCACAAGGCCAGCGAAGAACGCGAGCTGATCGAAGCCGAGCTCGCCGGGTTGCTCGATGACGAAAAGAATAACAAGAGCGCCGACGACCCCGACATAGACGACGACCTCAGCTCGCACTGGTCAGCGGAAGACGACGGTGATCGCGACGAGGAAAAAGAGCACGCATTGCGGAGGCTGCCACCGTCGCATAGGACACTGTAACCTGTCAACGGAGCATTTCAATCCAATTGTACCCCACGGCGGCAGGCATGTTCCTCTGCGTTGGCGGTTGAAAGCAGTGCATAGGTAATGGGAGCGGCATGGCGTCTCCTGTGGCAGTCTTCGTCGCTATCGACGACATGGAGCCCACTGGATCGATGTCATCGATGCAGAAAAACAAGCGTCACCCGAGGCTTGCAAAGACAATTCATAGCGGTGCGACATCTACAGATGACGTATTCAAAAGCGACACTCCTCGCACGGAAGTCTACGAGCGCGATGGACAATTCATCCCAAGCGTGCACGTTCATTTGAACCAAGTGCCATCGCGCGCACGCTCCCGTGTGAAGTGGGTTTGTTGTTGTGTGAGAAGCAACTTCTCCGCGAGGGCGTGACGGGGGGGATGGGACAAGCGAGGAGAGCATCCCCCGTGAAACCCCCCACGATGACCTTGCGTTCACGCGGCGCCCCCAAGAAACGAACCTGACTCGTCGTTCGTTTGCGACAAGGGGGGGCGGCACATGGAATGTTGGAGTTGCACTCTTCCGTCGCCATCCCACTCTTTTGGCCCGTGTCGCGTAATACTGGTGAGATATTCTGATGACGAGTCATAGTTATGGCTTGTCGTACATCCAATCATCGTGAAGTCGCCAACGCAAAAAGAGCTCACCGTGTTGAAGTGGTGAGTTCTGTGGCGCGCGGCAACCATCCATTGGCGCTGGTTGACGGGCATGGGGCGACCACCCCACCTACTGACGGCGCATGGACGGATGTATCGAGCATGGAATTACAGCATGTCCCTTTGAAAACACTGCGCGATCGAGGCGGGCGACATCGAGAGAGACTTCCACGGCGCCAAGACTTGACGAGACCTGCGACGAACCAAACAAAGTCACCAGCAAGCGACATGTACGGTTGAGGCTTGCCCTTGTTTTTGCGGCGAAGAGAGTCAACTCGCTTGGCGGCGTCGTTCCAGCAATCGATCCGTGTGTTGGCCACCAGCTCGAGCCTGCCTGCTCCCCCTCGTCAAATGGCGCATGGAATGCTTGCTCGCACGCACGCGTGGAATCAAGTTGTGCCATGGGGTCTGCGATATTTCGCAGCCATTGTATAACGCGCCATTTGGAACGATCGAGTGGAACGGGCAGGCGTCTGGGCTTCGATCTGGGACACTTCGCCTCTGGTCGGCGTCGAATGGTCTGTGCAGCGAGCGATGCGGATGAATTGGCCCGCTCTGCCACCAGCTCGGTGGGGGGGCTCGCTTGCGTTGGAACGACCTGCGCTCAGTATGCGTATAGACAGCAGGGCTGAACCCACAACGGACCAGCCCCACGAAACCCAAGCGAGTACCCCATCACCACCAAGAGTGGGATGCAAGAGGTGGTGCCATGTCCCTGGCTGATTCGCGTCACACAGCTCAAATGTCCCCCACTTGCCACCCTGCTTTTCACCGCCGCCGGGAGCATCGCCCCCACCATGACGGTTGTACCTGCCCTGCTGCATGTGTGCCCAGTGGAGCCTACGGTATCTGGGCGCAACCGCTGTATGCACCACGGGGCAAGTTTTATCTGTCCACCACAGGCAACTTTAGTAATGGAGTGGCGAGGTTGCTGGACAGTTCGGGGAACGGGCTGGTACGTTCAACGCGTACAGTGATTGTACGTACTACGGTGCTTGTTTTTTGTATGAATGTACATTGTACGTCCATTCCACGCCAAAGGTTGAAGTCGGCCCCCATGCGCCAACGATATTGGTTTGACATCACTTTCGGATTCGCGGGGGCGCGGCCATGAACGATGCGCTCCTGTGCAAATATGCATACAAGCCATGTGCAAACCCGCGGGTGGCGAAGAAGGACGGAGATCTCCACCGCCTCTGCGAGTACCACCGCGACAAGGCCAACGCGATCCAGAAAATCTACGCCACGCGCCGCCGACGCGAGCGCCGCGCCGAAAGACGGCGCGCTCTCATGCAGAAACTGCTCGGCAACATTGAACCTGTCCCGTTCGACCCCGACACGCAGCGACCGGTGCGAACAAGGACGACGACGTTCGACTACGACCAGGACATTCTAGACGCTGAAATGGCCGGGTTGTTGGATTGGGACGACGCGCACGTGAATCACATCATGGACGACGACGACCTGTCGTCGACATCGTCGACGCTTTCGTCCGACGACTTCGATCCAATCCCGCGCCGATAACGACTGCCGAGAGGTCGGCGCGGCGTAATTTAAACACGAATGCACTGAGCATGCAATGCTGGCGCCTCATGGTCCTCACAACCATGCAGCTGCGTTCGTTGAAAAGACGAGCGGGAGTCGGTGGGGCCGTCCTCAACGATCTTGCTCGGTAAATTGTCCTTGCTACTTGTGCTTGTAGATACAACTGGAAGTAGCTCGTCGATTGGTGGTCGGGCATGGCTTGATCAAGCCGCATGCGACGTTGTTAGGATCCGTTCAAGGCCGTCCTGGCCAGGCCCCCCGACGCAGGAGCGCTGGAACGTCCCATCGAGTTTCATTGCGCAAAAACGGGTTGAGCGCCCAGTGGCTGCGTCGTTCCAAATATTCGACGGCGGCGGCCGTCGATCCCACAGTTCGACCTGTTGTCGCGTCATCTTTGGGCTAGCGCGCAAGCAACCGCCAGCCAAGAGAATCTAGCGGTGGGGCGGTCGAATGTTCCAAATCTTGCTGAACCGGTGCAGCGAGGGGCCACGGCTGGGGGGTGACGTTATATCGCAACCCGACACAACGCATGCAAAACCCACGGACGACCCCTGCGCGTGTGCACTACGGAACACCAAGTGCGTACCTTTCCCCCCCGATCCCCTCGATCGCCTCGCCGATTCAGTTCAGCATCCAGTCTGCGCACCGCACCAAGGGCGCGGCGTTTGGCAAGTGGGGCCCCACTTGCCGAATGTGACACCTCCGACTTGAAACGACGACGGATCGAGTGGCTGGTTCGTGACTGTGGGTTCCCGACCACAGGCGAGAAAACGGATGGAAGCATATTTCGCCCTCCTAGATTCGATGGCAGGGGATGCCGCCCTCTGGACTTACTGGCGCATACATATATATTGTCGGCGCCGAATCGAACGGCGTGGCAAGTCCCTGGAACTGCCGTCGACGCGCGTGTGTGCGGTGTGGCGGAAGCCTTCCGGGATCCAAGAAACGAGCACGAGAACGCAAGGTGAGAAGAAGCGAGGACCAGGTGAGCGAGATCGATCCCACCGGGGGTAATGCGTGAGATAGCCGTACGGAACGCGAAGTCGACCGGCGCACAGCGTCGACAAGCGAGTCGTACAGTTTGTGGCATTGGACGAGTGTGGAGTTGCATTCTTGATATTGCCCCGATCGCTTCCCATGGACGAGTCGTTGTGCAAGTATGCGTACAAGCCGTGCCAGAACCCCCGCGTCGCCAAGAAAGACGGGGGCCTCCATCGCTTGTGCGCGTTCCATCGGGATAAGGCCAACGCGGTCCAGAAAATCTACGCGACCCGTCGGCGACGCGAGCGCTGCGCCGAGAGGCGCGCCAATCTCGTCCAAACGCTTCTGGATAACATCGAACCTTTTCCGTTTGACAGACAGACCGACCAACTGACCCAAGACGAGCGATCCAGGTTGGAAGCGGAGCTGGCTGCACTGCTCGAAGATGACGGCAACGCTGCGGAAGACGATGTCGACGACGTCTCTATCGCGCCGTGGTCGCAAGAGTATCCCGACGACCGACTTAGCAAGCTGTTATAACGCGATGAACGTTTCCGTCTATCGTGCTCGTTGTCTTCAGGAGGAAGAGCCATGCTCTCCCGCGACCGCGGCGCGCATTGCTGGCTGTCGACGCGCGGGGGAACAAGCTCCCCATGTCGACGTACCCAAAGCATTCGACTGGGGGGGGAGCGCCAGCGACATCTAGACGACCCCCCCCTACCCGCCGCCCTTGTATACCCCTTTCGACAGAGCCGAGGCCGGTCGCCCTGCCTTGCTGCCCCAGGAATACGTCGACACACGTGCAACCAAACTGACGCGGTCAAGAACAAGATTGCAGGGGCGGTTGCCACGTGTCGTCGTGCATCCCCCGACCGACACGGAGGCACTGGATGGTAGTCGTTCCTGATTCAATCTCTCTCCCATCGTTTCTGAATGTACGCTGTCGGGTTCCATCGCGAGAGAGATGCCGCCGCCGCCTCACCAACGTCCGATCGTCACAAACACAAGTCGGACCCCGACCGCCCCGCCCCCCTCCACAACCTTTCTGGAATACCTTGTGGCCTTTATTGCCGACAGGCACCTCGCCCGCGAAGGGATGCGTCCCCCTTGAGCCAGTCCCGTATCGAACATTAGTACCAGATGCGCACATGCTCGACGGGAAAAGGACTGTGGACATCCAGCGCGCGCGACGGCATGTCTTGGCAACATGCTGTAGCGACGCAGAGGCGGGTTGTGGATGGCTGCGCGAGGGTCGCCCCGTTTCGGGCTGATGGCGCACCGTGCGTCGCTGGCGACGAATACGCGTCGAGACAGCGACCTGCGCGGCATTCGCCTCGATTTGAAGGGAATGCACAGACAGGCACCCGTATCGCCCCCGCGCGGTGCCCACCACGTGGCAGCCTGTGACACGATGGTGTAGCCCACCATAAGGACTGTCCAACGTTTACAGCATTCAAGCGGTGGCAACGTCTCATGCGACCCCATTGAGGAATTCCCAACACACACGAACAGCCCGATGCAGCAGAGCCATCGACGGCCCGTTCCTTTGTACGACGACGCCCAACCGTCCAAGCCATGCGCACCCCCAACGATGGCACCTCCACGGACATGGCGACGTTTTCTTCGCTTGTTTTCGATCTCCGCCAAGCTGCATCCGACTCAAGTCGTCGTGTCGCGTCGCGGATGCGACAAGTGTGCACAGCGCCGACGTGGTCCTGCCCGAATCGTCCCGGACGTCATCCCCGTGGTTGTCGCGTACAAGGTCGTGGACTGGGCCTCCATGCGCAAGCACGCCATCATCGTCGGGGGCGGCCCCGTGCCATTCTACCCCACCCAGATCGAGTGGCATCGTCAATTGCGCCAGCGTAGCGTTGTCCTGGACACGATCGACGAGGAGTCTAGGTCGACGTGTGAAGCCTGCCTCAGCCACCACCTTTGCCAGACTGTGCCATGCGTGAGCATTACGCTGCGGTAGATGGAATGCCCGCCCGTTTCGCACGGTAATAACGTTTGAGTGCATGCATGCAACGTGATCGCGTTCGACTCGAATGGGCCGCAGCACGACTCGATCCTTCCCACATAGTAGGGCCCGATCAGAGTGCGCTAATGGGCACGCAGCGCGCTTTACACGCAACCGCCGCCGCGATTCCACGTCGACGCCCGTGGTATTCGTCTGAAACACAACGATCCATTCGGCCAGAGCACATCCCTTCTTTATCTATATCGTCGTGCTTGCTTCGAGCTACGTGCACCCAACTCGCCAAGTCTTTGCCAACATGGACGACAACCGACAGGAACGAGGTTGGTGGCTGTGCAGAAGACTGCTCCCTCGAGAGCTCGGTCACGAAACACACACACGCGTGTGGTGATGCATGCATCGGGCACATGATGGGAGTTGGAACGGGACGCACGGCACGTCGCGACCACCTGGCAGGTTCACGAACAGGCATACCATGGAATCTCGATCCCTGCACGCACGTGGGAGCTCCATGCTGCTCCTGTCGCAAGCAAGTGTCGTCGAGTCGATGCCTCTGTCCGCCGTCGTGCCACCGACCACCACGTTTTCGTGCACGACCGACCATCATTCCTGGTGCATCTAGAATGTATGTTTTTTCTCTGGCCGACCCCACAATTCTGGCCGACGATGGCATCGGAAGCAGACGTTGCGGCAGTCCGCCGCGTGGCGAAAGAGGTCCCGATGTGGAAGGGCGTGATTGCCGCCAATGGCGCGGACGACGTCGTGGTGACCAAGCTGCCCGTTGTATCGGCCAACAAGATCCTCGTCGCCGACTTGCACGGCACCAAAGTGCTCGTCAAGTTCCCGATGGAGAACGTCTTCAGCATGGTCTTTGATCTTCACGAGCAAAAGATTGTAAACGACATGGTGAGCTCGTACCGCGGCGACCTGGGGCTGAACCCGCGCGTTCTCCACATCAACGACGTGTGCCGTGTCGACGAGTTCGTTGACTGCCGCACCCTCTCGCCGGCCGACTTCGAAGACCGCACCACGATGAAGCGCCTGGCCGGCGAGCTCGCGACCCTCCACTGCGACGTGCGGCTTAAAGACCGGTACATTGCGCTGAAGCAAGGCAAAGCATACACGATCGCGGATCGGCTGCTGGGCATGCACGAAACGTTCAAGGTCAACTTTCCGATCCGAAAGACGCGAGTGGCGTCCCACGTGCCCGAATCGCACCAAGCGCTTGCGGCGACGGTGAATGCGGCCATGGAAGTGCTGGCGGACACCGCGTTCTTTACGCACGTGCTCGCCAAGTGCTTCCCCGCATCGTCCGACCTCGTGTTCTCGCACAACGATCTCAGCGCCAACAACGTGCTTTTAGTCGGTGATTGCGTGCACATCATCGATTTCGACGGGTCCAACTTGAGCTACCGCGGCGCGGACATCGGGTACATGATCAAGAACCGGGACATGCAAGGATCGCCGTGGCCCCAGGACCACGTGGACCTGTTTATTCAGAGCTACATCGACGCGTGCGCGACGCACGGTGTCATCGTGGCGCACGACGACTTGCTGGCGCAGGTCGAACGGGGCAAAGTCCTCTCGGTCCTGTTCCTCATGACGATGTTTGGCGCCAGCGACAACTGGGACGTGTTTCACCAGACCGGGTTCACCTTCATGGCGACGTTTCCCGCTCTCATGCACACGATCGTCGACTTTGCAAGTCGGACCGAGAGTACGTAGGATCGTGGTAAATGTGCCCGAGGGCGGGTGTCGACGGCCTCCGTCGAGTACACGGCCAAGTACTCTCGATACCGTTGGGAAATGCCATTCGCGACGGCACGATATCGTTCTCGCCGCGACTAAACACAACATGCGACGACGGGATCGGGGCGGCGCACGCCACTAAACGTCCGACCTGCCGAATATTGCTACGCGTAGCTTCCTGGTGGCCGCACATCCCTTGACGCTTCGCGCGCGATCAAAGCACTCGATGCACCCGATTCCAGTCCCCACAGAACGACACACGACAGTCGTCGAGGTGCACTTATTCGCGGTCCAGTGCAGGGGGGGGTGGCTGCATCGGGTACAACTGGTCTCGCGATGGGGGGGGTCGTTATCGGCGCCGTGCGTTGCCATATGCACGTGCTCGCCCCACAACTCGTCCTGCTGTGGCCGCGACACGTGCCATGGTGCTCGTGGACCGACCTATCGGGACTGCACCTGCCACGACCCGCCATTGCCATGGGGAATGGACCCATCGCAAGCGCGGATGCTTGGTCGGGTCTGGCAAAGACAGTGAAGCGCCGGCTGCGTCGACCAGACTCCACGTAGTCAAGCCGTCGGCGTGCGAGCTCCCCGTTCGAGAGGTTTGAACGACAGGAGGAGCGTCGTGTGTGCCGTTCCGTGCATATCGAACGCGACGACGAACGTCTCGTTGGGCCCGTCCACGTGGCGGGCGCTCCGGCAACCCCCCTGAGCTCCCCCCCCACCCGTGAAATCGACGCAGCCACAAACATTTTGTGGCCATCGCAATGGGAAATGTGACAGTCGCGCGATCGGCCCAACTTCAAAGTGGCTAATTCGAGTGGTCCAATCACAGGGCGGGAGCGGGGGATTTAAATATCAAGAAGATTGTATGGAATTTTAATACGCCGCGTGAACTTCCTCGAAAAACAGGGGACGGCCGGCGTGACCACGAAGGAGGACCCCGCACCGTCCATGATCGCGCAGCATCCGTCGAGTCCACCACTGCCGCTGAGGAGGTCCGATCCTTTTTTGCCTCCGTCGCCACTCCCGTCGCCGCTCCACGAACCGCCCAAGGAACGCTCGTGGTCGACGGATGTGCGATTCACCCTCGACCAAACGTTGACGCCTGCGCCTGCCCCGTCGTCGACCGGTGACCGGCAACGCACGAAAGCGCTGTCCGACAAACGTCTGCTCTACCGCAAGTGGCGCACTGGATCGCATCGCGGCGCGTCCTTGTCCATCATTGAATCGATTGGTCCGTCGGCAAACGACGCGACGTCGTCTACTCTCATCCCGCCGCGTCGACCACCGTCGTCGTCTTTATCCGTCATCCCGATCCACTCGCCGTCCCTGAACCCAACCGACCCGTTGCTGTCACCCTCCAACGACCATCAAATCCATGGCCACACCGCGCTCACGTCGACCGCGACGCTACCGACCTCGTCGTCGTCGACCGCCGCCGCCGCGCCGCCCCTCACTGCCACCACACACAGAGATGAACTCGACCGACGAGCGCGAGAGCTCTCGGAGCGATTCTTACAAGACGAAGATCAGTTTTCACAGTCGTCGACGGTCGAAGCGCTGAGCGGGTCCTTTGGCAAGCACGGGTCGTCGACGCCGTACCCAGAAATGAAGAAATCGAGATCGCACCAAGGGTTGTCGTCCTTGGAACGTGCGGCGACCATGAACCCGCCAAAGGTACTCAAATGCCAACTCGCATGCGCGCGTACCCCATTGCGAACGCACCAGTCGACTCACGACTTGCGTGTTTTTTCTTCGCGTAGTCGTCGGCGTCCGGCGTCCAACGTGGTCTAAAGGACTCGGTCATGCATGACATGTGCCATGCAGTCGTCAAACAAATGGTGGGTGATGCCATCTCGCTCACGACCCCCGACGGGGCTACCCGAGCGACCACGTACCACCCCGCGACCAACCACTTGTACGCCCCCGTGTTGGCATCTGTCCAGGTACGGACCGTCGCCGCGATCGAGTGCTGGACGTTCGTCGCATTCGTTGCAGGATGCACGACCGGTCGATTTTCGCGTTGTGCCTGGCATCGTGTCGAGGTATTCACGCTTCGTTTTGAACCGGTAGACGCATTTCAAACAGCTTCCGGCGCGGTACGCATTGTCCGTTGACCCTGACGATGTCCCGATGCACATGCGCCTCCTCGCCAACCAAAAGCGCCGGCCCGACGACATTTACCTCCATGCCCACTTTTTAAAGCATGACGACGGAAGCATCAACCCGACGATCTGCGAAGTGGTGGTTGTGGCGCAGGACCGCGACTCGCTCCTGGATGCAATCACTCGTGGCTTGTCGAGTCTCAAGGGCAGCATCCAAGATGCCGACGTCATGACGACCAAGGACGGCGTGACTCTGGACCGGTTTGTCGTCAAGGGATCGTTTGTCCCGCCAGATCGACTGGCCGAGCTGCGCCGACGCATTCTCGAGAACCTTGCACGTAGCACCCTCGCTGCCGAGCACAGCGACAAGGAGCGCCAGCTGCAAGCGGCGCAACAAACTGCGTCCTCCGCACCGACCGAGGCGGCTCCTGCACCGCCGACCACGACACTCGAGTTGGACGCGCACTCGGCGCTGCGGCAGTCGCTCAACACAACCACGATCAAGCCCGAGTGGCGCCTCAACTTTTCCGAACTTGTGCTCGGGTACGCCGCCGGGTTGTGGCGCAAGTTGCTCGGCATGGCCTGTGCTCACGATGGGGGGTTGGGTAGGAAAGCGGTGGGGACAGGCCGTTCGGGACAGACGTATTCGGGGTCGTGGCGAGGCACGCGCGTCGCCATCAAGCTGATCAACTTGTCGCATCACAACCAGAGTGTGAGCGAAGAGATCCTGCAAGAGTTTTACCGAGAAGTCGCTGTCGTGAGTCGGCTGCGGCACCCAAACATCGTGCTGTTCCTTGGGGCGTCGATCGAGCCGCCCCAGTACTGCCTTGGTACGTCTCGTGATTCTGTCGACACGTGGACGGTGGTGGTCGTGTCGATTCTGCACCGTCCGTTTTATGGCGTCCACCCGTCGTTGGATCCAAGTGGATGGACAGGATGAACCGGTCCACAGCCATGGACGGCTCACAGCTCTTGTATAGTGTTTGAGTACATGGAAAATGGCGCACTCACAGACCTCATTCGGCGCCGCCGCGCCGCCCCCATTGATTTCTTTCGCATTGCCCGCGAGATCGCCATGGTACGTGCAACGAGAGTGCGTAACAACCGAACGAACCCACAATCGCACGAGGCTGCTTGTGCATGTGGAGGAGTTGCCGGCGTGGGGTATGGCACAGCTCGTCGTCAACCACCCGATCGAGTCGTTGGACATGTGGCCTGACCGATTCTCTGGTGCCTCTGCAGGGCATGAACTACCTCCACTTGTGCAACATCATGCATCGCGACCTCAAGTCGGCCAATGTTCTGCTGGACATGTTTGGGACCGTCAAAATTTCCGACTTTGGCCTGAGCTGTGTCTTGGAAGCCGGCACGGCGTCCGACTTGACCGCAGAGACAGGCACGTATCGATGGATGGCGCCTGAAGTGATCGGCCACGAGCCGTACTCGGCCAAGGCGGACGTGTACAGCTATGGCGTGATTTTGTGGGAAATGATCGGCAAGGATCAACCGTTCAAGGGCATGACGCCGATTCAAGCAGCGTTTGCCGTCGCGCGGCAAAACGTGCGCCCGGCCTTCCCCGACACGACGCCGACGTGTCTGCGAGCGCTTGTGAACCGGTGCTGGCACCAAAATCCCGCGGACCGGCCGACGTTCGCCATGATCTTGGACATGTTGCCAGAAGTCTACGTCCAAATGCGCAAACTCGAGTTCCACCAGCTCCATTTTGTGGCCCCGTGACGCATACGGACGAAACCCCAGCTAACGCGTCGATAATTTAATTGCGTCAACACTACCATGACACCAGTGCAAAGCGAGGCGAGGATGGCGCGGCCGATGCAGGGATTTGCTCCGCCACCACCGTCTGGAGTGTACGACGTACCTCGACAAACCCGTGCCACTCGATTCGACCTCGATATCCGCGCACGTGCGCCTGCCCACCCATGGCGACACAAACAGTCGCGCAATTCGCACGCAACTTTATGAAAAGCACGTGTTGGATACATCGAATTGGACCATTTCGTTCATTACGCGCGAAGCTTGAGCCCAGTGAGCAGCGGGTGGCCGTAGCACACCAACCCGTCCAAGGGCTGGCCTTGCAAGAACACCGTCGATATCTGCGTGCACCCGTACAGCCCGAGCCGGGTCAAGTTATGGCAGTGCGTGGTGAGGTACCCAACGTCGTTGTCTCGGATATGCCGGCAAAACGATATGTCCAAGTGGTGCAATGACGTCGCGCAGTGGGTCGCCAACGCCACCATGGCCTTGCCCGTGAGCAACTAGACAAGACCCATCAGTTCGTCTCGCGCGTGCGAGCGGAATGCCACCCCCAAGACGTCCATCGCGGTAGCCACGTTGACCTCTCCCCCCATCACCACCACGTCAAGAACCCAGCGAGCCAAACATGCACACACGTACTGGAAGGCTAGAGATTTCCAGTCGTGCCAAGTGGCCCGCGCTGGCCACTGCCAAATCTTCGATCCCTGCGTCCGTCATGTTGGTGCACCGTCGCAAGTTGACTCGGTGCAACGTTAACTTGGCCGTGCGCACCTGCAGCACAAACACGTCGGGTGAAAATGCAGACAACGGGTGGTTGCCGTCTGCGATGGAACTGGCCGATCCGCCGGGGGTCGGTACGTACATGGGCAAGGGTCGCGTCCGTGAGCAAGAGGACGTCGGCCACATCGAGAGCCGTCAGGCGGGAGCACGCTTGCACAGCCACTTGCAGACCAGCATCGGTTAGCCGAGCGCACCGTGCGACACTCAGGTCTTCGATCAAGCAGTCTGCGGTGCCATGAAACAAGAGTTGCAAGAGACGATCGGTGGCTTTGTCCAGCTGCACGAGCGACAGCTTCCTCAGGGACGTCGTCACGAGCGGCTTGAGCGGGAGGAAATCGTCGTCGACGAACTGGGGGCATTCCGCGAGACTCAGTGTGTGGAGATGCGTCCATCCTTGGATGTACGTTATGGAAGCGGCCGTGATGCGCTGGTTGCTGCTCAGTTCAAACCGTTCCAGACACGGCGAGCACTTGGCCTGCAAGTACTTGATGCCGTGGTCCGACAAACGATAGCAACCATCCAGACGAACTTCTTCCACCGTCGACAGCGCCGTTCTAGCCACAAAAACCGCTTTATGAGGAACGGACCTCGCGCAGGACCAGAGATGGACGTACGAGAGGCTTTCGAGCACTCTGTCCGAGATGCACCGCCCGCTCATCCCGAGCTTGAGCGACGTAAACTTCGTGGAAATGCCAAGGTCCTTCTCGGCAGTTTGGGCGGCCAGCAGCGCCTGGACAAATGAGTTTTCGTCGAGCATCGAACAGTCGGGGATGTCAATTTCCATCACGCCAGGGTAGATGAAGAACGGGAGGACTGTGGGTCATGCATAAGACGATTCGAGAGAAGAGCCACACTGTACCCGAGTTATCCAACCGACGGCTCTGAGCCACGAGCGTTGCGATTTTCGCGCGGGATTCAACCAACGACCGCTCGCCAAGGCACTCGTGCCCGACGTCTTGGTATTCGTGAATGTGCTGGGCAATGATGGCGCATACGACGTCCTTTAAGGATGGAATGTCCTGGGTCTTGACAAGGGCGCGCAAGGGGTAGCGCGGCTCCCACGGCGTTGCCGCCTCTTCTTCCGTCGTGGCGCTGTCGTTGGTCGCTTTCTTGTCGAGCTCTTCTTGACGCTTCGCTTGTGCGGCAGATCGACCTTGGTGCAACACAGCTGCAGTTTGAAACATTCCTGGCCAATCTTCCTCGGCTGTTGACGACGATGCAGCTGGAGTGATGCGATGGTCCTCAGCATCAATGCCCGATGTGTCACCGCGAGCGAAGTAAGACGCCCGGTCAGCTGTCACTGCTCCACGACCACGTGCCACCTCCTCTCCGTTTCCCCGGCGGCGCTGAGCAGGCTGTTCCTCCTTCGTCTCATCGTCACTGGTCTCAGCTTCCTGCTTGCGACGGCTACGCTTCATGCGGCCAGGTTTCAATGCGCCACTGGTGCCGCACAGTCAAGATCGCGCAAGGCCGCCAACGATCAAGTCATGCAATTCGCGGGCCGTTGTCTGATTGGTTGAGAATTCCATGCCATGAATATATTTTGATAATGCAAGTATTTCGAGAATACTATTAATATTTTTAGATTAAGTGGCAATTGAATTATCATACATACCAGTACTTGAATCTAAGCAACATGGACTCACAATATATTTTCGGATAAATACATCCGGACACTGTGTTGGATATCTTTGACATGGGCACACCCAGTGTCGACAACGCGGGCGGCGCGCTAGTGTGCTTGAGCTCTAATGCGACCCTCGTTCGCAGCAAGGATACATCTTCTTGGTGGCATGACGAAACCCACGATTGCATCATCTCGTTGCGACCCATCCTGGATGCGGAAGGATCCTCCACGGACAAGGTAGGACTCTTCGTGGAGGCGCTTCCCGGCGGGTCCTTGCGAACCAACCCCACAGCGATCACAGCGAGCGACTTGCCGCACGGATCTTTCTCCCACGATTCGACTTTTGTCGATGTCAAGCTCTCGATCGACCAGCACTTCTTTGCCGTGCAGCGCAACGAGAATGAAGTCGACGTGTGGGCGGCCTCCATATCGTCTGGCGATGTTGGCCACCATCCCATTCGTCTCCGTTACAGCGTCATGGCCAAGCGAATGTCTCGAATTTTGGGCCTCGTATGGAACGCCAAGGTGAAACCAATGGCGCCGCGGAATAAACGTCCGCTCACCGCTCGTAGGATGTCGACCATGCAGTCAGTGGAAAGAAAACGCCGTCGCAGTACCTCATCGTGGTCACCACGGGGGGCTTGGAGCTGTACAAAGTCACTTCGACCAAGGTATATCGTTCACGTCACGTCCTGTCCTTCGTCGCCGTGGCTACATGATTTCATCTCATCGCTAGTGCAAATTCCATCGGGTTGTCGCGTACGCCACGCACCAGTTTTGGTGGCATCCTCAGCACCACGTTCTCGTGCTTGCCACGGGCGCCAAAGCCACGGAGCTCCGGCCATACTATGTCGAAGGCGGCAACGTCGCCAAGGTGTCCAAGGTCGTAGTGGGTGCGCCGTGCCTGGCGCCGTCGCAAGTCGTCCTCGCTTCGCTCTACTCGACGCTGTACCTTGTCTACGCCGCTTCATCGACCAAGGAACAACTGCTGTTGTACCGCATTCACCCAACACTCGATACGATGTGTGTGCGAGCGCTGCGCGTCGGCTTCGACGACCCGCTCTGCTCCGTGCTGGATAACTTGCTCGTCGTCCACAGCGCCACGTATGGCGTAACGTGCTTCTACGATATCGGGCTGCCCGATGCCGATTCATTTCTCCACCCGCTGCCCCTCCACTTGCCGTGCGCAAGCAGCGAGCAACCATGGCACCTGCAGCGACTGCTGGCGCCCCACCACGCCATGTTGAGTACTGCTTTCAACACCGCCGTCGACACGGACTCGCCGCTGATACAAGTCCATGGCATGCAGTTGAATATCCGCGCGATTGCTGCCTGTGCCACGGCCAGTGGGCGTCCGATGCTGTCGCTCCTTCGGTTTCTTTTGCGACGCCGTGGGTTGCCATGGACAGACAGTACTGAACGGGATGCATCCAGGGTCGTTCAAGAGGCGTTGTTCATGTCGTTTCGCGCGCGGGTGAGCGAAGGCCGACTGCCCGAATCGGAGTTTCGCGCATGTGTAAACTTGCTCCATCATCACGAAGCCACGGACCGAATGAGGAAGGCGATGCCATTGCCGCCGTCAAAGTCCCCGACAGCAGCAACGTCGTCGCACCATCTCTTTCTCCATGTCTCGCAGCGGGACTGGCTAGACCAGTTTTGGCTCTCGCTGCAGCAGGTAAGCGCAAGTTCGTGGCAACCAAGTGGGTCCATGTTCTTGGGCGAGATGCACGTGTGCTGGCATCCATGCAGTCGTGCGATGGCGCGGTTGCCCTGCGACCAAGGCGCGCGAGCTCATGGCCGCGTGGAGTAGGACTTACCACCCGATCGCTTTGTCATGTACTTGGCGATCTTCCTCGGCAGCGTGCGGCACCATGGCTTGGCGACCCTTCCTGCCTTGTACGTGTCGGGCCCTCGGATCACATAAGAAGATTGTGTTCTTGCTGGTCTAGACAAATCGTGTATATTCAAGCGATGGCAGCTCAAGGCCGATGCAAAGACTTGGTGGGATGCCCCATGGACGACTCGATCGAAGTCGCGCGGGAGCTCGAGCTGCAGGTACACTCTTCGCCGCGGTACCATGCACACACCATCGCGTTTGTGACATGCCGAACGCGTCCACTAGCGAGGAACTGCCCCAGCGTTGCACCAAGCTGCCATGGACATGTACCATCGGCTAGGCGCCGTCGACGATCTCGTGCGGCTCTTCGTTCACGACGGCCATGTACGTGAACCCGATCGTCGTGCCCACGACATGGGCGTATGCAGCAGAGCACGAGGCGAGCGTGTGTGCAGTCGCCCATGGGATTGGAACTCTATTCATCGAGCGTAGGTGACCATGGCGCTGCGGCTGGCACTGCGGTATGCATCCAAGAAACAGCCCATCTCGCATTCACCCCAGTGGTTCTTTGACCAAGTCGTTGGGGCGACCATACAACGCGCGTCGCGGCAGGATGACGTCGACGAAGCCGTCGACGAAAGCAGAGCTCGAGGGAGGCAGCAATTGTACGCGCTGTACGTGTTTCTGTCGGTGTTCGCGCCGGCGGAGATCGCGCGAGACGACCAAGGCAGGTCCCCGTTGAGCCACACGTGCACGTTCCCCATCGAGCTGTTCGAATCAAACGGATCGTTGCCAGAAGGCACGACGGCAGACGCGTCCCATGTGCTGTTTCGACGACTGTTTGGGTTTCCCAACTCTACTTAAATTACACATCTTGGTCCCGTTAACAGACGACGGCAGCGACCGCGCGGCGAGTGCGTCCCACCGAGGGTTTGGCGGGGGACATTGCGGTAGCCTTGAATTGGCGCATGAGTCGATTTAACATGGACTCTTGCTCTTGCTCAAAGCGCACGCCAAGTGCCACCTTGTCGTCGCGCAAGCGCTTCATTTCTGCTTCATAGTACGAATCGCGGGGACGGGATGCCAGGCGCTGGACGTGGAGTGCCGACTGTGTCTTGGAGGCCTTCGCAGCCAGGGCTTTTTGCTTTTGTTCCATGCGCCGGATGAACGAGTTCACGATGAACTCCTCTTCTTTCTCGGCTTCAAGCGACTGATACAGCATGAGACGGCGGAGCGAGGATGGACTGGGGAGCACTCACCGCAGCCACGACGGCCTTGCGCAATCGCTCGATTTCGGCCTGGAGGCGACGGTTCTTTTCTTGTTCCATGGCGAGCTGCGTCGCAAGGTCCATCTTGTCGGCGGCACTGGCGTGGCTGGGATGTGCCAGAAGCAAGAATGATCGCTCTGTCGTTAGGAAGGGGTTGAAGTGGGAGAGGGGTCGTGCGAATTAAAATACGATACAAACATCAAGCTATAAAATCCTACTGCCATAGCGCAACGAGAATGTACGAAGATACACCTTGAAATAAGGTAATTTTGAAGCTCCGTTCAGGTGATATTCGGGAAATAGACCACTTTTGATCGAATTAGCGCGAAATTCGGCAGAGGCAACAACGCATGTGTCGTGTGCCTCTGCTCGAGACACACGCAGCCGCCGTCGCGGCCGTGCTCGTGCGATGGCTGTACAGAACGAAGGGACACGAGAGTCCCTGGGTCGTGGAGTGCCGTACCAGCATACGCCACCCACAGCCGTGCCTACTCCGCGAAGACCATCATCACGGTTGTGTGTATCGTCGTACAGTTACAAGCAGATCCTGGCGCCACTGCCTCCACATCCCAGCGCCTCGTGATGACGACTTTCCACGAGCGAGCAATATGGCAATGAGAACCAGCAAGCAGTTCACACACAAAAGATGACTTTACGCTTGAACACACTGGCTGTGTGCGGTGATGACCGCCATGCCGGTTTTCCATCGTGGTGTGCACAACTTGAAGATTCGTTAGATTCACACAAGTCGTCGTGGACAACCAGGCCCCGGCTCCAGCGGGTCCTTTACGAGGCCAGAGAGAAGACTGCCGCGAATAATTCGTCAAAGGGGAATGCTTTTTGCAGGGACGCTTCCATTTCGTGCATGGCCGCGGACAGCGGCACCGCCCACCACCGTCAGGCAGGCAAGAGCAACATTCTTCTTTTGTCACGTCGACTTGCGTGATTTGACATTGCGAAACCACGCACTAGCCAATCAAATGCATTGATTCGTCGATTTCGAAAGTTGAGAGTCGCGGCGGTTCGGAGCCAATGGCCTTGCGCCATTGTCGAGGTGGCTGGTAACCCAGCCAAGAAGCAGAACGCCAAGGGACCGACCGCCAGTTATGAAAGCGAGCGCGGCGTGCGCTGCTCCTTGCGTAATGGAATCGAGATCGAACAGTCTAACGTTCATGCAACCATGGGACGTGCACGTTGGACGACGCAACAAGCAGTGTAAATGTCCAATGGAGGAAAGATGGCAAGCCCCTCACATAAACCTTCGATGAGCGGACAAAGACGGCCCACCGAGAACGCGGTGCATTGCGTGGCGCGTATACATCGCTCATGGCGAGGGTTTTCCGTCGTCGAAAGAATGGAGGTAAAGTCAGGACTAAAAATATCGTGGATGTCATGGCGACCTTTCGGCAGATCTTGGGCGAAACGACGACGAATCGTGGCATCGTATCGGTCGTCCCGCTCAAATGTTCGGATTTCGAAAGGCCACACAACACCAGCGCGTGGATCCGGCCGACAGCACAAGTTCACTCGCAAGGATACGGCACATTTGATCTCGCCCTAGTGCTTGATCAAGCCCCTCAAACCTTCGTTATTTTGCCACCACGTGCTGCTTCAATCGCACACTTTTGAATGATGGCAGACACGCCGAAACCAACACCATTGCTTGGGCCGTCGACGGCGATAGCGGCACCCACGGCCATGACGGAAGTGCCGGCGCCGCTGCTTGTTCCTACACCCAAGTCGGTCGTGAAGGACCGCAGCCTTCCTCAAAGCCCCAAGTCCCCCGTGAAGAAACGCAACGTGGGCGTCCCCAAGTTCCTTCGATTCCTCTACGAGATTCTGGAGAAGGAAGACAAGAGCATCATTTGTTGGTCGCACAAAGGCACGGCGTTCCAGATCCGCCGCCCCGACGCTCTCTCAAAAGGGATCCTCCCGCGGTACTTTAAACACAACAAAGTCTCGAGCTTTCAGCGCCAGCTCAACTATTTTGGCTTCAAGAAGTGGACCAAAACCCAGACGGTTGTATGCACGTTCAGCCACCCAAACTTTATCCACCACAAGCCAGACAACATCAAACTCATCAAGCGCAAAGAGCGCGGGTTGAACGAGGGCCATACTACGCCAAGTGCAAACCTGCACGGCAAACACACCAAGGCGCCGCCAGCGCCGTCCTCATCGACACGTGTACCGCCAATCCCCGGCTACACCTGGACGTTTCCGTCCGCCCCCGCCGTGACGACGTCGGCAGGCCTGGCCCAACAACCCTACGACGTGCTCCTCTACGACAGCACGACGTTTTTCGACAAACGGGTCGCGAATCCGGAAGCATTCCATCCCCACCCCCACTTGATGCCGATGCAAATCTTGTCGACACAGATCCACATCGGGGACGTCGGGCCACCCCCGAGCGACTGTTGGGGCGATGTGCTGCTGGCAGAACAGCCGCCGTTGCACCATTCCAACGCGGCCACCGCAATGACAAACTATTTATGCCCCGCCAAGCACATGGGCACTGGATCGAGTGGCGGGGACGACGCAGCGCTGTACTTTGACATGTGGGACGATGACGACGACGACGACTGCGCCAACGGCATCGTGGTGCCTTCGTCGACCGTCGGCCCGTACACGCAAGCGATGCAAGATAGCCATCATGGCTTGGGCATGATCAAACACGAAGACGACATGTATTGCGATGTGAATGGCGGCCAGTCCCTCACTCGGTTCTACGTCGATACGTGATCCTGACATGTTGTTTTGTCGAGTTTTGTAACACAACATTTTCATCCCTCCCCCTTGTACTTGCTCGACCGCCCCTTCAGCATCGATACCCCACGGTTCGTCGCTTCTTTTAGCTTCCAACGGCCTTTGTGCTGCGCATGCCCCCACATGATGACAGGGGCAGCACTTCACAAGCCCTGCTGAAATGGATGGCAGCCGTGTGGTTTGGCTGAAAGCCGTTGGCGCGGCCACAGGCTTACCATGTCGTCGCAAGTCCCACTTTCGAGACACGGCGTGAGGCGGTGTCGCTCAAGTAGTCGACGTGATGCGATGGGACGCCACTACAATCTGTCCTTCCTTCCTGGTTGCGCCTCATCTCGAGTTGAGGAAATGCTGCGAGACTTGGCAAGCTGGCTATCACGAGAGGTCCACGTTTGGTCCCGATGACAACGTCCTCGCTTGAAACTGTTAAGTAACGACGCGGGGACATGGCCGACGGCAAGGGCCCGGCCGTGGGGGATGACCCCGACCCATCGTTGAATGTGCGCCACAAGCCCGAGAGCATGCCGAGCCCCACACGTCGAGGATGTCAAATAGCGATCGGGCGGGCGTGGACAAACGGCCCAGCCATCGATATGGACCATTACGAGTGGACGGCGGCCGACTATGTTCGTCGCAAGGAAGTGGTCGCGGCGATGCGGGAGCGCATTCGAGTCAAAGTACGATCTCCTCCATACCCTCGTTTATCCAGGCACTTAGCACGATGAGGCAGAGTCTGCCGGGGTGCGACCACTTTCCAGGTCGCAAACGCACACTACGAGCGGCGGCGGAGAAGTACACCCGAAGCAACTTGTACTTTTTACCGTTCGTCAAGACGACCCTCCCGGACGCTGTCTGGGACGGCGACCTGGTCAACGTCGCTAGGCTTCTCGTCATGCGCATTCCCCCAGACTCCCGCGACAAGAACGGCCGCCTTGCGCTCTCCATCGCGATTCAGCTGAAACACAGTGCAATTGCCAAGTTCCTCATGGACAAGCATGCGAAACCAGACTTACAGGACGAAGGAACTCTCTACGGCGCTCTGCACATGTGCATCATGTACGTATGCTGCCGACCTTTGGACTCTAACTGTGGCTAGGACAGTATGGGCAATAAGTCGCTGACGTACGTGACATTCATGGATACATGCGGAGTTGTGTTGAGAAGATTGTCCCAAGAAGAATGGAATCGGGGCTTTAACAGGTTCTAGACGTCGCCTCGTCGAAGCCGGGGCCAATGTCGAGCTGCGGGACGCAGAAGGCATGACGCCATTGATATGGGCAACGATTCGAGGCTTTCTCGAAGTTGTTGGGCTGCTGCTCCATCATGGCGCCGACGTGAACGGCAAGGACAACACTGGCATGACTGCACTGCACGTGGCATGTTTCAAAGGTTACACCGACCTCGTCGACTTTTTACTGCACACAGGTAGCTCCTTGAGCAGGTGGATGTCATGGTCGGTGCATGACTTCATGTTGGTCTCAATCGCTGGCTGTAGGCCACGCCGACTTGGAAGCAGAAGACATCCATGGGTTTACCCCAGGACTGTACGCCAGAATAGAAGACCAAGGCGAGGTGCTTGATCGCATTGACGAATTCATTGCTGGTCTGAAGAAAGATGATGAAAGGCGGCAGCGGCGCATCAAACGGCGGGCAGAGCGCCTCGCCCGCCTCGCCAAGGAGGCTGACGAAGCCGAGGCAAATGCGCACTCTCTAATTTAATGCCATGTCAACTTCGTTATTGACTATGCATGGCCGTCGTTGCCGGCGGTGCCTTGGCATGGTGTATCCCCTGCGTCGTCAGCGCCTCCAAGCTGTGGTGTGTTTGAAACGAGCCAATGAGCTTCCAGTTTGGCGGGAGCCAATGAAATGTCATTGTAACGGCGGGGTTTCGAACGTGTTCGAAACCCCTCCATTGTGTTATAACAGGTATCTCTCGGTGCAAATCCCCATGGAATGAAATTATAACACGATCGAAATCTGTTATATTTGTGCTGCCCCAAGACGCCATTCATTTCACTGGCCAAAACTTGCAGCTTCAAGTTCCGATTTACGACCCCCGCCCACGATGGACGCTGCGACGGATCAATCGATCTTGCGGCATGAGGTGTCCGAAGTGTGCTTCGGCTTCTACAGCGACGACGAGATTCGCGATCTGTCTGTGAAGCAGATCACGAGTCGCATCTCGTTCGACACGCTGAAGAACCCCGTCCTCGGCGGTCTCTACGACCCGGCCCTCGGCCCGATCGACTTTAACATGATTTGCCCGACGTGCCATTTGACGCAGAAGGAGTGCCCGGGCCATCTCGGCCACATCGAGCTGCCCGTGCCGGTGTACTCGCCCGTACTCTTCACGACGCTGCTCAACATCCTAAAGCGCAAATGCATGAGCTGCCACAAATTTCGCCGCCACTCGGCCAACTCGCGCGTGTACCGCGTCCGCATCCTCCTTCTGGACAATGGATACGTCGAGGAAGCAGCGTCGTTGCTCCCGCTGCTCGACCAGAAGGACGGCAACTTTGACGAGAGCGCCAACCAGACGCTGCAGCGCCAGCAGGCCATCCTCGACGAATTCGAGCGCCTCGCGTTGTCTGGAACGAAGAAAGCGTTGCCGCGCAACGCACGCAGCGTTGAAGTTGAGCGGGACGCAATCATCAACGCGTTCCTCAAGGGCATGACCAACAAATGCGAAAACTGCGAGGCGCATTCGCCGTCGATCCGGCAAGATGCGCACGCCAAGATTTTTCTCAAGCCGCTAAGCCTTCGATCGATCAAGCACAACCAGAGCCGCGCCGTTCGTCTCAGCTCTGCGTTCGACGTGCTCTCCAAGTACAGCACCGGGACGAACAAGGACGACTCGGACGATGACGACGACGGTGCCGTCGATTCCGACGACGACACAGATGACACCAAGAATGCCGCGTCCGCCGAAAACCAGGGCGCCAACCAGTACTTGGCACCGCTGGAAGTCATGTCACAACTGCAGCTGCTCTGGCAACACGAAGAAGGGTTGATGGAGCTCATGTGGGGGAACCGACTGGTGGCGAATGGCCGCAGCCCCGATGCGAACGCCTCCATGGACGGCTGGCGCAAGTTTTTCCTCCAAGTAATCCCGGTCGCGCCGTCCCGCTTCCGTCCGCCTGTGATCATGGGCGACTCGCAGTTTGAACACTCGCAAAACATTTACTTGTCCAAGATCATTACGTTGAGCGAGCAGCTCGTGAATGTGTCTGGCATGCGTCGCGGCCATGCGAGTTCGACAGCCGCCGACTCGGACACTGGCGTCGACCTCTCTGAGAAGATTTATCTGTGGACAGAGCTCCAGACCCAAGTCAACTGCCTCATCGACAACTCCAAGGCGAAGCGGCCGGACGATGTCCCGCAGGGGATCAAGCAGCTCATCGAGAAAAAGGAAGGGTTGTTTCGCAAGCACATGATGGGGAAGCGCGTCAACTACGCCGCGCGGTCGGTCATTTCCCCTGACCCGTACATCAGGTACGTTGGTCGGCCCCATCTCCCGCCCTCATGGGTGGAATTAGCACGAGCGAAATCGGAGTCCCGTTGCGGTTTGCCAAGACGCTGACGCTGCCGCAAGCCGTCACGCCATGGAACGTCGTGGAGATGCGCCAACTCGTCGAGAACGGGCCGGATGTCCACCCTGGCGCCAACTTTGTGGAAAACGAACGAGGTACGTGGCCATGGTGGTTGGTGGGCCGCCGTCGACGCGCTTTTTGACGTCGTCGAGCGAGGCCCAGCGACATGACCACCGCGTTGGATGTGCCAGTTGGACCAAGCGGAATAACCCTGACGTTGCAATTGCCTAGGCCAACTCATCGACTTGAGCAAGCGGACGCATCACCAGCGCGTGGCGATCGGAAAAACACTGCTCACGCGGTCGGCGTCGGCCCACGGCGCGCACCAAGAGCACAAGGTGAAGCGTGTGTGGCGCCACCTGCACTCGGGCGACGTCGTGCTCATGAACCGCCAGCCGACGTTGCACAAGCCGAGTATGATGGCGCATGTGACGCGCGTGCTGACCAACCCGGCCATGCAAACGATTCGCATGCACTACGCCAATTGCAACACGTACAACGCAGACTTTGACGGCGACGAAATGAACATGCACTTCCCGCAAAACGAACTCGCGCGCGCCGAAGCGTACACGATCGCCAACAACGACAACCAGTACATCGTCCCGACCGACGGGTCGCCCCTGCGTGGGCTGATTCAAGATCACGTCGACTCGGGCGTCAAACTCACACAGCGCGACACGTTCCTGACCAAGGACCTGTACATTCAGCTCGTGTACAGCGCATGGGCATGTCTGGACCACGAGCGCGGAGGCGAAATCGACATCCTCCCGCCCACGATCGTCAAACCGACGCCGCTTTGGACGGGCAAGCAAGTCATGTCGACGATTCTACACCACTTGACTCATGGCAAACCCAAGCTCAACCTGAACGCGAAGGCCAAGATCAAGGCCGACTTGTATGGCCCGCAAAACGCCGAGCATGTCGTCGTGTTTCGCGATGGCGAGTTGCTCCAGGGTGTGCTGGACAAGGGCCAGTTTGGTGCTACCGAGTACGGCTGGGTCCATGCTGTGTACGAGTTGTACGGCAGCGGGACGGCCGCCAAGCTCCTCACGGCCCTTGGACGAGTCCTCACATGCTACCTGCAGTATGCGGGCCACACGTGTGCGCTGGAAGACTTGACCCTGACTGAAGAAGCTGAAGCGGAGCGCCGCCGCCTCGTCCAGCACGCTGTTGTTCACGGCGAAATCGCGTACTCAGAGTTTGCTGGCCTGGCAGACGTGGCCGCGGCCCGCAAAGCCGAAGCGGACGCCAACCACGACTCTGTCCGCCTCATGAACGACGTCGAACGCACCAAGATCCGCGAAACGATGCAGAAGCGCATGGCCGAAGACTTGGAACAAACGTCGGCCGGCCTCGATTCGCACATGATGGGTTTCGTCCACGGGTCGAGCTCCGACATCATCAAGGCGTGCTTGCCCCACGGTCAAAACAAGTCGTTCCCGGCCAACTGCTTTAGTCTGATGGTGTTGACGGGGGCCAAGGGGAGCATGGTCAACCACTCGCAAATCTCATGCGGCCTCGGCCAGCAAGCACTCGAGGGGCGCCGCGTGCCCGTCCTCGTAAGCGGCAAGTCGCTTCCGTCGTTTGAAGCGTACGACCCGAATCCACGCGCCGGCGGGTACATCACAGATCGTTTCTTGACCGGGCTGCGGCCGCAAGAGTACTACCACCATTGCATGGCCGGGCGCGAAGGGCTCGTCGACACGGCCGTCAAGACGTCTCGATCCGGGTACCTCCAGCGATGTTTGATCAAGCACTTGGAAGACCTGCATGTCGCGTACGATCACACTGTGCGTAATGCGGAAGGCACGGTCGTGCAGTTTTTGTATGGCGAAGACGGCGTTGACCCGATGCAAGCGGCGTTTTTAAGTGGCAAGGCGGACCAGCTCTCGTTCTTGGCGATGAACCACGCGTCGCTCACGCACAAGTTTGGCATTTCCGGCGAATTCCTGGAAAACTCGGGGCTGGACGTGGTCGAACCGGCGCATGTGCACCAGCGCATCAAGGACGCCAAGCGGTACGGGTATGACCGCGCCGCGACGACGGCGGGCCTTGAAATGCACACGATGAAGGTCGGGTTGGCGATCCAGGCCCGCCGGCTCAAGGCGGGGGCGTCCAAATGGAGGAAGGGCAACTTTGAACTGGGCTGGCACGACGCTGTGATTGTCCAGGTCGACGACGCTGGCGACTACCCGGTCTATGACATCCAGTACATGGACACGGGGCTCACGGCGCACGCCGTCCCCGAGTACAAGCGGTTCAAAGCGAGCGATACCATCTCGCCCGACGTGTCGTACCTCAGCGGCACGGTCCAGCTGCTCCGCCCGGTGCTCCCGGATCCAGTCATGCACCAACTTCCGCTGAACGCGCACATCGGGGTCGTGTCGGAAAAAACGCAGCTTGACATTGAAGCGTATGCCAAGGGCAACCCCGCGGGCCTCCTCGAATCCAAAAAGACCAAGGCGCTGCCGGCCGCTGCCAAGTCTCCCATGATGCTGTCGCCGCTCGGGTTTCGCCTCATGGTCTGGGTCAAGTACATGCGATCGCTGTGCCAGCCGGGCGAAAACGTCGGGACGATCTGCGCCCAAAGTATCGGCGAACCGTCGACGCAAATGACGCTCAATACGTTCCACTTGGCTGGCCACGGCGCCGCCAACGTCACGCTCGGCATCCCGCGTCTGCGAGAAATCATCATGACCGCGAGCCAAAAGATGTCGACGCCCATGATGACGGTGCCGCTCTTGCCGACGACGTCCGCGGCCGCGGCGCAGGCCGTCGAGCAGCGCTTGAACCAAGTCCCGTTGGCGGAGCTCCTTCGAAACACCAAGGGGATCCGCGTCCAGGACGAGTTCAAGGAGAGCGCGAACCGCGTCCTGTGGGTGCGCGAATACACGATTCGTCTGTCGTTTTTCAAGGCGAAGGCGATCCGGTCCGCGTTTGGCATCTCGATGAAGGAAGTGCATCGCAGCTTTGGCCGTGTGTTTGTGTCGCGGTTGCTTACGCTGCTGAAGCATGAGATCCGCAAGAGCGGCGTCGCTCTGAGCACGTCGCGCGCCGTCGACAACGACATCGAGACCACGGCGACCACCCGCTTTCGCAAGCACGACGACGACAACGAAGACGATGACGAAGCCCAAGGCACGATGCGGTTTGGTGCCAAGAAGGAAGCGTCTGGGTACGGCGAAATGGACGACGATGACCGAGCGATTCTCGCACAGCAGCTCAACGAAGACGACGCGCCCCGTGCAGGTGCGACGGACGGGTCGGACGGGTCGGACACAGAGAACTCGAGCGACGACGAAGTGGACGCGGCGCCGCTCAAGACCGTCGCGGGTGAGATCGACCCAGTCCCGGTCACTGAAACGGTGCGCAAGAGCCCGTACTTTGCCGGCGCCGGGTTCAACTCGAAGGAACAATTTGGCGAACTGAAGCTCCGGTTTCCGGCCAACTTTAAGACGTTGCTCTTGGTGCCGCTGATTGAAAAGGTCGCGAGCCACGTGCTTGTTCGGTCGTGCCCGGGCATCTCGCGATGCTACCAAGTCAAGCAGCGCCTCGGCCGCTCCGACGTCGAAGAGCAGTGCATTCAAACGGCGGGGCTCAACTTTCAAGCGATTTGGGAACTCGACGACGTCCTTGACGTGAACCGCCTCGCCACCAACGACATTTACCAAGTTCTGCGGCACTACGGCGTCGAAGCCGCGCGCGCGTCCATCTCGAAGCAAATCCAAGACGTGTTTGGCGTATACGGGATCAGCGTGGACCCGCGCCACTTGAATCTTCTCGCCGACTACATGACGCACCACGGCGACTACATGCCCCTCAACCGATCCGGCATGGTGCACAAGGGATCGAGCTTCCAACAGATTACGTTTGAAACGTCGATGAAGTTCCTGACGGCCGCCGCGACGGCCAACTTGGGCGACTCGATGGACGGCCCGTCCGCCCGCCTCGTGTTGGGCCAGCCCGTCAAACTCGGCACGGGCAGCTTCTCGTTGCTCACCCCCATCTCGCTATAAGGCGGTCGGTCAGTCGGCTTCAACACTCTTCCTATATAATCTAGAATGCGTTCGCTTAATCAGGGGCTTGTGTTTCAACTCGCGGCGGCGCGCCATGCTGTCGCTCGGCCACGAAGCAACCGTGTTGCATTGTAGTAACGATTTTGAACAAATATATACGTAACTAATGTCCTGTGAATAAAAATTATGCGTAAAACAAATTCAATTTTGTAAAAATACACGCGTCAACTTTAAATGTATTTAATTCGATTCAATTAAAAATGACCATTGTTGTATGCTCAGCAGTAGTTGAATACCCTAGTATATTGTAATAAATGAATACCACCAATATATTGCCTTGGTGGGTCTGAAGTCGCGGCACTCGGATTGGGTGAATATTGGCCAATTCTCATACGAATAGATGGAGTCAACCAATCTAAATGGATCGAATCAAATATATATGACCAATTAGCATCATTCATTCCCGCGGCCGTCATCTCGAAGCACAATTTGCACATCAAAACGATGGAAGTCGAGCGTATTTGCAAAATTGGCATCGACGTCGCGAGTACAGGAGGCGGTCGAAGGCCCCCCTTCTCCCGACGAAAAATTGCTACGGAGACCACGCAAACCCAGCCATGGGCTCGAGCAATGCCTATCGGGAACAGTCAGGAGTGAGGCACACGTGCTTGCCATGGACCTGTCGAATCGCCACGTTGCGAACGACTTGATGCGGAGTCGTCGCGTGGATTTGCGCCGCATAGTCCCTGTGGCACACCGGCAGGATCAATGTGTGGGCGATAAACGACAGAGGTTGCCGCGACAACCACGTACACAAACTGGTCCTTCTTCCACTGCTTGAGAAACGCCGCGTGGAATGCGATGGTGCCCTAGACACACACCCGCGTGTCGTCATGCAAATTGTCACGACGAACGAAAAACGACACACAGCTTCGTGGAGCCCAGACGTGCCAAGGTTGCGGTGGCCACATAACTTGGACGTATCGGGGCGTGAATTGAGCCACATGAACTGAAACAGCGCTCTAGATATGATAGCGTTGAACACTCGACACCGGCGCCACGATATCATGGATGATATCAACGTACTTGAGTTGCATGGAGATGGAAACAGGGGCGTGACCGTACAGCTTGAGCGTGAGCCGCAGCAGCAAGTGGCAAAACCCCAGGAAAGTGAGCTGCCGCCGGGTCGAGCCCTTCATTTTCTCAACACTGTCGATGTAGGCGGCGGCAAACTCGGCAATCGTAACCCCCCCGTGGCTAACGAGGCCGAATTGCCGGGCAAACGCGACCGAGTCTTGGTAGTTTAGGTACAGTGCCATGTGATGGGGGAGGACAGCGCAGGCCCGTTGGCGGGGCGGGTGGGCACGTGCGGGCGTGATGGCTTTGACCTTGTTTCGGTGCGACGCGGTGGTCTTGTGCGTGGCGTCGGCGTAGCCTTTGAAGATCTAGCGCCAAACGCTTCCGTTGGAACTGTCGATTAGTACGGGGCTCTGTGCGCAAACTACCTCGACCAAGCTCGGCTCGAAGAACGCCATGACTTTCTCGGCCCGAGCGTACGCGTCGGTGACGGAGCACCGTATCCTACCGCCAAATGTAATTCGACCTCGATGCTGGTGCTCGAGAAGCACACCTGGACTTTTGTTTGGGAGAGAAGCGAACGCATTGATCGACGACGTGCTTGAAAGCCAGCGGCGGCGGCGTGTCTGGATGGGCCTATGCCATGCCCCACCCCCCAGTCCATGTCAGCCCACTCAATGCAACAACAAGGAGGCATGCATGCAAGCGATCGCCATGCCGGTGCATATCGTACGTGAAGCGCAATATCCCAAAGGAGCTTTAGAAACACGTCGTAAGTGAGCTTTGTGCACGTCGTGGACGTGTGCAATAGCTTGGACGCGATGATCTCGACGTCGCGAATGGCCAGTGTCTACCACTCGCTCAACGAAAGACACGTTGTCGAGTGCTATACCTGGCTGTGGCACTGCGGAGTCCGTAGCGGGTCGATCGCGCCCACGGACGATGTCCCGACGGAGTCGTGCACCACGCGGCAATCCTGCAGCATCTTGATGACGTAGCCCATGCGTATACACGTGGGGTCGTCGCACGTGACCAGCATCGCGTACGTCGTGAACAGGTCAAACAGTTTATCTTCCCGGGTGTCGCCGCCACATCGAGTCGCGGCGTCGGGGATGGCGACGGGGGATGGGACGGCTATCGACTCTGTCGTCGACGGTGCCGTGGGGGATATAGGTGGTCCTCCAAACAGTCTGTCCTGGAAAAACGATTCCACACTCATCGTGGACAACGCCCGCAACACTTGCATGTCGCCGATTCGACCTCACCCATGCACTGGTCGCCCAAGTTGCGCCACGTTTGGAGTGTGGATTGTTCTCTATATTTAGTGCCCGCGGCGAGGGTACCGCATCGTGTCGGGTTCAAGACGCCCCTCGAGCTAAGAATACCCTGCACGACTTTGCATCTTCCCAACTCAGCTTCGACCGTGCTGCCAACAACTCGCGGCCTCGAGTGAATTGGCACTCACTCTAGTTACGGTTTGACATGTGCGTGCATCAATGAAGTCGTCATTTTGAGAGCTTTTGTATTTGCTGCCTGTCGAAGAGACATCCGAGACATTTGCACAGAGCGACAGGCGTCCACGTGTTACCGCGCGTCCATTTGTGGTATGGGAAGTGCAGGGCAGTCGCCGGTATAACGAGTGGTTGGCAGAGCGCTGGTCGTGGCGGGGCGGTCGCCTCGGCGATGGCAGTCGAGGCGCGGGCGACACGGGCATGGTAGGCTTGGATGAGTGCAATGTCACGAGGTGTATGAACGATGTTGGACGAAATGGAAATTTACACTCGCACGAAGTCACAATGTGGTGTCCTCAAAACCGCGACTTCTCTCATCTCGAGCGCCAAATCGAGTTGTCTTCCGCCGAGGTTGTCCGCAGGCTAGACAGTCGCTACTCTACCTCGTGGATTCCGGGCGTCGAGGGCAGCGTACGACGCCTGGCCTTCCTGGGAACAGCGGCTCCGATGGTCGACCAGACTGGTTCACGGACGGCATGCACCATCATACGGTTCAAATCGACAGAATCGCGCGGCCTTGGACCGTCGAACTGCCGTCCTCTACTCTGAACAAGAAAGAGGTGATATCCCGTCTGCGATGGCTGTTGGTCGAAGAGATCGAAAATGGGTGGACGGCATGACGTGGCTTCGTCGGCTCTCGAGCCATGCCGCTCCCCGTGCTCCCAGCATACATGACGCAAGCGCAGGACCTCCGTCTACAAAACTCGATGCAGTGTAACTTATGGCGGGTATTGACATGTTATGCGATCCACGCCGCGGTGGGCAGCTTGTAGTACGTGAGCTCGACATCCGTGACGAATACGGTGACGTCCGGGGCCGACTTGGTAAACTCGTACCCCATGCAGTCTTCGCACAGGTCGACGTCGGTGGCGCCGCGACGACGTCTGCAATGGGTGGTGGTGCTGCCGCACGACTCTTTCACGGGGCTCAGGGTTTGCCACAATGTACGCAGGCGCTTGAGGCGCACAACATCACGGGAATTGAATGGCACACACCGACCGCCCACGATTGTGTCGCACTTGGCAACGCTCTTGTCGATGGCTTCGGTTGTCATGGACACACACGGCACAGGCGGCGCCTTGCGGAAAAAGTAGAGGCCGCGCTTGCGGGTGCGCTCCCGGCAGCATGGCTCTTTCGTGGAGCCGAAGCGGGCGGCAAACAAGTTGGCCAGGAACATGGTTGGGTTGGCAATACGTAGAGTGACCTTGCCTGTCGAAGGTCAGGTGCGCGTCCGTACAACTGGGTGGGACGAGCCACAGCACTTGTGGCATGTTCTGGGCATGTTCGTCGTTCGTACGGAACATTCCACCGGTTCTTATTGATTTTGAAAGGTTATTCAAGAACCCAACGCAAGGCGGCTGGGTCGTGTGCATGATTCGGGCGCGGCCATCTCACGAAAATGCATCCTCCCTTTCCCTCGGATGGGCTCCATGTGTTGAACTACGAGATGGCCCAGCATGTCTTGTGTTCGACTGTGGGCGAGTTACGCCGATCCAGCCCCACGCGAACCATCCCACCCCGCAATGATGGAAAAACAAGCAGTGGAACCCAGTCGGAGATGCAACGTTCTCTTGTAGCAAAGGAGCGCTGGGAACGACGTGGTATGCTATGAGTGCGCCACTGCGTGTCTAGCACGACAGTGGCGGCGAGGGAAGTCGCACCTCGCCCAGCGCGATTGTAGTTCGTACCTTGTTGCAAAATTTCGATATCATATTATACAGGTCTCTAGATTTGGCAGGTATTCCAGATGGCGACAATCCGTCATGTCACCACCATGCCCATCTTCTACGTGCGGTTGATATGCTATGGTGGCGCACGCGAACTTGGAGCCGCCGTGAGTGCGCATGCTCTGCGAGATATGCGGTAGATACATACAATTCTCGCTCTTTCGATGGGCATTGTAGCCGACGGCTGAACAGTCGCTGAATACACATCCTAGCGACGTCTTGATTGCTGTCGTCGGCTGCCCTCTGCTACTACTCCAATTCTTGCTTGTGGATGAAGCGAGCCATAGCTGCGACAGACTCACACGCGAGGGCTCTGTCGAGTTGGAAAATTCGCGAACGCATTCTTGCTGGGTCGACCCTTTTGGTTGAGTTGCATGGGTAGCTTGCCTTTGCGCGCCGGCAGCACGGACAGCGCTCGCGATGGCGGATCCTCAAGGCGGAACTGGGAGGGCTTCACTTTTTGGACGTTCGTGATTCCAAGCACCACGTCCGGTCGGTACGTGCACGCGTGGCAGTCCTCGCAGACAAACGTGTCTTCGTGTATCATCGGCAATGTTTCTCGAAGGCGGCTTCGAAACATTTTGCGGCGGGCCGCGACCTCGTCTGTGTTGAGGGGGATTCCGACTCGACCCCCCACGATGGAGGTGCATGCTGGTACGAACGATGGTGTGTTGTAAAGGATGCGGACACCAGCATCGGTGGCTGCATGAAGCGATGAAAAGAAGCTTGGCCGCCGCTGCCGCCGCTCACGCTCCGCGCAGCACGACAACGAGGTAGCGACTGGCGAGGTGGTTGCACCAAAATGTGGCGGAAAGAAGACCCACGTGGCCGCGTGTGTCGACAATGGCTGCTTCAGGAACGGCATCCACCACAACGTTCAGTGCAAGAAATCTCTACAACGACTATTTATATCGTTGGCACAACTTCTGCCACATGGAGTACCAATACAAGACGGATGCAAGCCTCACGGCGGTGGAGTTCTTCCGGCTCGGCCTGGGTGTGTATGCCATCGTCGTCTAGGCGACGGGCGGCGCAAGCGCCATCGGATGCTGCTTCATTGAGAGATGTCGATGATGAGACTGGTTACGGATATATTGTATCCGGATACGCTTGTATGGGAAATTATCCGGATTCCTGTTTGAAATCCGAAATATTCCGCCGCGCGCCGCGCCTGCACATCTGTCGTCGACGACGTAAGTCCCATGAACCTGGAAGGCGGATCGGATGTCATGGATTACATAGTAAGGGACATGGAAGAGATTGCAGAGGTTTCAGACGAACGGCGATGTCGAAACCACTCGGTAGGGGAACTGATGGCTCGAGCTATGCCCATGGGAATATTCTGGCAGGTCGACGACGACGGTCTGTACCGTCGCGGGTCCATCGAGACAAGCAGCGAAGGCGAGTCTAGTAGTCACCATCCATTCTATCGTCGCAGTTCCATCTCGAGCACGACTTCCTCGTCGGATTTACAGTCTCTACAAGTCAAGGCGTCGTTGTTGGACGAACTGGTACGCCATCGATCGCAAGTTTCGTGGCATCCTTTCACACTGAGACACATTGACATCGATGCGGTCGTCATTTGAATGCTGATCGTGATGGATAATTTCTGACAAGTCTCGATCGTCCCCAGAAAGAACGGCAAGCCGAGCATCCCTTGTTGCCCCTCGTGCACCAGCAACTGGCTGTAGTGCATGCCACGTGCACAGCCCAGCGTGCCCGCATGCGTCAATGGAAGGTTCGTCCATAGAGACAATGCTGTCTGAACCACTGCTGTCCACTCTTCCTCGCACCGCTTTGCCAATAGGACGACGAAATCGCCTTGGCGATGCGCGAAGAAGACGATCATTACGATGACGTCGAACGCTTTGTCTTGGTAAGCTTTGAAGTTCATACGCCGATGCCTGACGACTTCTTTCTTCTTGGGCAATGCAGATCGTCGAGGCCATGCAAGCCAAAATCGAGTCCATGCAGCCATCGCCTGGCTCCCGTCCCCCTACTCCTTCAAAGCGCGCGACTACTCCCAACTCCGACGCGAGTACAGTGCAGCGTCCTCACTCTTCTTTGTGATTTCTATGCATCTGCCCGCATTGCACGGCCGTCTTACACGTTCACTAACGAGTGTACCAGACGATGCGACTCGACAAGCCTTGGAGACAGAACTGACCTCGGCCAAACGCCACGTTTCTGTCATGGAAGCGTCCTTGGCAGAAGCGGTGGCCCAGCGCCAAGAGCTAGAAGCCCAAGCCCGTGTCTTGCGAGAAGTGAACGACGACCTGAGCGCTCGCATTAGTTCATGGAAAGAGTCGCAACCTCACAAGGAGGCCGAGGTCGAGCACGAGGTCGAGCGCAGTTGGATGGAACGCCAAACAACGTGGGAAGCGACCTTCGCGGCCTTGCACCAACGAATTGAGTCGTTGGAGCTCGAGCTCGGCGCGGCACAGCAACGAGGCGATGCAATGCACCGTCAATGGTCCGAGCTGCACCTCACCCACCAAGACGTAAGCGCATGGCCACGGCTGGACTGCTCGCATTTCTGGTCGCACGACCTCACTGTTGCGTCGGTAGACGTTGGAGCACTTAAAACAAGCGTATCGAGACGTTATCGACGCCAACGGGAAGGTCAGTGAAGAGCATCGCGTTCGCCTCGCTGGAGAAGCCAAGATTCAGGTAGCTCCAAATGCCGTTCGATGGCTGGTCCGACATCTGTGGACTTTCCATCGGTATCGTAGGAGTTTGTGGAGCGGGAAGCATTGTGGCATGCGGAGAGGTCGTCGATGGAATCGAAGCAGCACCAGGCCAACTTCGACTTGCGCCAGTCCCAAACAGAACAGAGTCGGTTATCCAACGAATTGGCAGCCACAAGAGCGCAACTGCATGGCGTCCAGGACAAATGGGACGACCGAGTCCAGGAACCGGAGCGCCACGCAAGAACTTGGCGCGAAAAACACGATTGCGTTGTGGCCAAACTCGAGGCGGCCCATGCAAGTATAGCATCGCTTGAGGCAAACGCCACGGCGACCAGCGATCGACTGGCGCAGGCAACTGCGCAGTTGACCCGAACGTCTCAAAGCGCTCTTGACGCTGCCGACCTGCATCACCAGCTCAAGGTATTCGAGTAAAGCGCCGCCGTCGTGGGTTGATTCCTGGTTGTGTGTGTGTACGGCAGAATCGAGTTAACGAACTGGAGAAGTCTTTGCAAGACGTGGAAGGTGCTCTAGCTCGCCGCACAAAGGAGAAAAACGACGCGGTGGCGTCGGTCGCGCGCTTGAACGAGCTACACCAGGAAGCCATCGCCGCGTTCGATGAGAAAGAAAGGATGCTGGAGACGGTGCTGGGCCAAAAACAAGCGGAGCTCGACGCGTTGACGGCATCCATTGAATCCAAGAACGACGAAATCGGGCGGTTGAAGCGGCAAAACTCGACAACGGTGGCAAGTCTCGAGGACCAATTCAAACGCCTGCAGGTACCAACGGTCGTGGAGGCGAATGCGCTCGGGGGTGCGCCGAATGTTGAGTTTCTGCGCTGCGTCGACACACCGGTGGCACACTCACGCCATGACTTTCTGTGTCGCAGGCATTCGACCAGCTCAGCATGGAGTACCACGACACGCGCATCGCGTACGAAGCCCGTCAAAGCCACGTCGAGCAACTGGAGGCGCAACTTCGCGCCGCCGACACGGCCACCGCGGCGTTGCGGCAATCGTTGTCGGAGCAACAGGACCAACTGGAAGCGGTCACACAGGACCGTCGCGACATGGAAGCGCGATTCCGAGAACTCCAGAGCATTTGCCACGATCTCGTGGCCAAGAACGAGCATGCCGAGGACGAAATCCACGCGTTGCGCCGGGAGAAGTCCGAGGTATGCACGTATATTCCGATGAGTTTTTGCGTCCGCATTGGCATATTGTCTTGGTGCAAATGTCGTCAGCGTGGGGTTACGTGGCGATTCGCAAACGGAGCTTGTAGGCGGTGGACACCGTGCGACGTGCTTTCGACGATCTCAAGGCAGCGCACGCGACTCTTCAAGACAAGCTGCGGCAAGTACAACAGGACACTAGCGTTCGAGCCCTCGACATGGAGGCCACGCTGTCGAATCGAACCGATGCGCTCGTCAAAGCACAGCATGAAGTGGACAGGCTGACAGTGGCCTTGGAGCAGCGCCGTGCCGAGCTTGATGAAGTCGCCCACGAGCGAAGCCACCTACAACAAACTACCCAAGCGTTGAACGGAAAGTGCAGCGCGCTGGAGACGCAAGTCGACTCGCTGCGAACGCGCCACGTTGAATTGGAACGTGCGCTGCAGGAAAACAAACAAGTACGCGTGATGCGCGGTCCACAGCAGCGCTCACATGCGTGTCTAGGTAAGCCACGAATGGCGCAACGTTGTCGAGAAAGCCACCAGCGACGTGCACTCGCTCGAACGTGAGTTGCGCCAAGCGCAGGACGAGGTCGCGGCCGCGTCGAATCGAATCGACAAACTCGACCGTGAAAACAAATCGCTGCACGACCATAACCGAGACTTGGCCGAAACCCACGCAGACGTACGTTCTAGATGGAATTTGACGGGTAGAGGGCGACGGGCGATTTAGCTATCGACGAGTTGTAGATGTCCCGTCAGATACAAGCTATCACTGCCTCGCGAGACGATGACCGGCAAAAGTGGCAAGTGTCGATTGTCCAGTGGACTGCCGCGCGAGAGCGCAGCCACGCGATGGTGGAAGCACTGCAAGGATCGATGGCTGAGAAAGAGTCTGCGCTCGCCGTCGCTCGACGAGACTTGGACGCTGCAAAAACCCAACTCCAACTTGCATTGGAGCAACGAAACATGGCAGAGAACCGTCGTCAAGCCCTCGTGGCGACGAATGAGTCGCTGCAGGCGCAAGTGGCGTCCCAAACCGAGTCATTCCAGACCAAGCACGTCGAGGTAGAGCCACTCGAGTGCGGATGCAATGCGTGATGCGGTCGTAGGAGTTTGCGAGCTTGCGCGAAGCATGCCACGACGTGGCGGAAGTGAATCGCATGCTCACGACAGAGCGAGACGCCATTCATGCGCGACTTCGGCAATGGCTTGCCAACTGGTCCATATCGAACGGCGTCAAAGCCGCCCCACAGACCGATGACGTTCAAGAAGCGCTGGACAAGGTCGAAGGGCTGTGGCGCGACCACACCAACGCGACGCGCACATTGGCCGACACTGTGATGACGCTCAATGCAAAACTCATGGCGACGGTGGATGGAAGCGTCCGGTTTGAAGAGGAAGTCGGCGGGCTGGTGCGGGAACTCCTCGACGCATTGAATCAGCCGCCGACAAACCAACCGTCTCCGCGCGACGACGGCGGGATGCAAGACGCGTTGGCGCAAGCGATTGCAATCGTCCGAGCGTACAAACAGCGCCAACCCGTGGCGTCTGCGGCAGGATACCCCGATCTACAGCACGAGGCCGCTCCACGTCAAGAGGAGAACGCCCCCGCGACAAATGCGGTCGTTTCCGCGACGCAGCGACGCCAGCACGACCTACACGTCGCCCAGTTGAACGACCACCTATCCCACCTCATGCAACAATGCCTGGCACTGCAGGCCCGCAACGACAAGTACAAGAAGCAGCTGCATGTCATGCGGCAGCGGGAGAAGCTCCTCGAACGAGATCTCCTCCTCGCGATAAAGTAATCGCGTGAGAGCCTTCCATGCCGCCGCCGCCGCCGTCGACAGGCACGTGTCCCTCCTGCATGCGAGCGGACGCTCTCCATCGAGCCCAACTACATTGATCGTGATTGTGCACAACTCTGCCTCCGACAAGCGCGGCGTCCACGCGTTCAGGTGTGCTCCATACAGTTGCGAGTGAGGACGACCATCCCATACATAATGATCACGACGCAGGTCCATCCTGGAGACTGGCATCATGGCTATCGATGGCCGGCAAGTGGTCGAAGTGCCGCATCCGAGTGAACGAAAAATTGAACGCTGTGGGCTGGCCCTTGTGCATGGCTAATTCCGTCCACTTGTCTGTCCACACAAACGTGGGCTGGTCGTCGTTGGACGGTCCCAGCACCGCGTCGCACTCGAGGCGGCGAGCACTGCGAACGGACGTCACTTTGGCGTCGATGGCGCCGCTCAAGGCAAACTCGGATGGGTTCGTGGCGAGATCGTACCGGGCGGCGATGGCCCGTCCTGGGTCGCCCAAGCTCAGCGGGTCATGGTGGTAGTTGTTGGCTCTACCACGACGGGTCCGAGTCACGGCGGATGGGAGCAACGGGCGAGACAGTACCGCATGAGGCGCTTCAAATGTGCAATGGACTGGACGTGGGGGGCGTCCCGGCGAAAGATCTTGGCCCGGGCACAGTCTTGATGGGACCAGCTACTATCCCTGCCCAAACAAGTTGTCAACTCGTCGGCGGTCAAGGTGCTTACGTGGACGCCATGGCCGCGATGCCCGACTTGTTGTAAATGTGCTCGAAGTACGGAATGTTGTACGATGCCCAATACCCCTGGGCATTCACGACGGCCGAGACGTCGCCGACGACAATGTCGCCTGGGAGTTGCTCGAGCAACGTCAATCCATGCGCGAGCAACGTGCCGTTCGCAAAGCGGGACGTGTCGAGGACCATCCACTGGTTGTTGTACGTGCCGCTGTTGAACGCGCTGAAGTGCGTCGTCCATGTCGGTCCGTCGACAGCCAAGGCGTTGGCGACTTTGGTTCTATCGATCGCAACGTGAGCGCTGCAACGCATGGAGCGAAGTCGTACCGCAGCCAGCTCAAGCATGACTGGGGTGTGATTGTGGCTGCCAGAGAAGCGTTGTAGTTGCCATTGGTGGTTTCCATGACCCCGAGACCGCTGTCGAGGAGGTACCAGTCGTCGACGGACGAGAGATACCCAGGACTCGACGACATGGAGATGCGGCGGCGGGCGCCCGGCTCCCGGCGCGCCTCGTCGTGCTTGTGGTTCTGGCCGTGGTGCGATGGCGAGTCGTCCGAAAACGCGACCGAATCACGAAGTGTTGCCGAGTCGTTGGGATGGCGCGGAGGCAGGGGCAGGTCGTAGTGCTTGAAGACTTTATTGAGGGCCGTGTACGTGTCCCACGTGGCATGGCCCCACAGCAAATCGTGGGGCAGCACACGAACGAGCGCCGAACACTTGAAGTTTGCCGTGGATGGTTTGGTCAACGAGACGACGGTGGCGGCGTCCGTGGCGGCTGGCATGGTGCGGGCGATGAGATTCTGCATGTCTCCGTCTGCATTGAGAAAGAGGAAATCGAGCTCGGACAAGGACGAGTCGTCAACGCTTCGGTGCGCGTTGTAGCCTTGAACGAGGCCGTCCAGTTGAGCTAGCACGCCACCGACCATGGACCAGTACATCGTGTCATTGCGTCGTGGGAACGAGGATGCCACCTGCGACCGCATCCACTGGATGTTCTGTTCGAGAAACGAGTACACTCGCGCGGCAGACGCGAGTTGTATGGCCGTCGGCACTTTGCCGAAAAAGTAGCTGCGGGTGTTCCAGTAGTGTTCGTGGATGCGGCGATGGGTGAGCGCGCCTTCGGCATACCCCGCGGCAAACATGGCTCGAACGAAGTCGTCGGTGCCATTCGACGCACGCGAGGGAGCGGCGCGAACCCACAGCTGCGACCATCCGATTTGAGACACGCTGTCGTTAAAGGTGGCAACAGCGTGGCTGTGGCGAGTAGTGGCGGTGGGGGTGACGTCGAACATGGTCGATGCAACAAGTTGACCGTCCACAGATCGATCCACAACCACTCGAATAGTTGTGACAGACGCATGGAACGACGATGGGCGACGTGATGGCGACGTTGAAGGAGAGGATGCTGCAGAGATCGACGGCGTATCGAACGACAAACTCGACGAGAAGAACCCAAGGTTGACAAGACAGATCAATCCCACTGCTAGCGCTGCATGGACGACAGACCGATGCAAGCGGTGCTGCTGCCCATGACTGAGTGTCCATTGCCGTGGTGGTGACGGCTTGCCCAGCAGCGGAACGTGCTCCATCTCGGCGGCGTTCATCTCGACGTTGGTGACGGCGTTTCAACGAATGTGCCACGATCTTTCACTCGTGCGAGTAAAATGAATCTGTTCAGGAATGAATGTTTTATCCATGTATTTGTAACGTCGTATTGCAAAAAAATCTCGAACAACCCACGACACACGCGAGCCGATTTCCATCGTCACCCACGTCATCGTCGTCGCTGTCTGGACAGCCCATGATGCATTCCCCCAAGGGCTCACCTGCCACAGTTCATTCCACACGTACGCATGTGTGTCGATGTGTTGCGCAGCGACACGATGCCATGAGGTCGCCACGCCTTCAACACAAACCTGCCGCGCGAGCCGAGGTGCAGAATGATGGTCTCGCAGGGGTGGATTAAACGCATGCAATTGGCCAATCATATCGCGACGCGGAGGCACGTTTTATCGAATGATACAGGTTTTCGAACCACTACAGGGTATAAAAGATGGAAGGGTTTGACCCAGAACGGAGAGCATTCCCCCCTTTGCCGCCGCCGCCATCGCGGTTGCCGCAGCGAGTCCGATTGCTACGCTGTCGGCACACTCGCGCCAAAAGGGCAAGAGCAGCAGCACGAACACTGTTGCGCGCTTGTCGCCTTCGATTGTGAACTCGTGGATCGTGGAACTGGACAGGTGGACGACCAACCTCATGCTGGACCAGGTCATGACGGGGTCGCTGTGTTTTTTGGCCCTCGCCATCTACATGTACATAAAGTTCATTCGGCGAGATCGATCGGCTGCATTTGAGCAAGTCCGACCCCATGCAAAGGAAGCACAGAGCCCTCCATCCCGGGAATCGGCGTCGACAGCCGATCCGTTCAACGTCATGCATCCGCACAACAACAGCCCGCCACCGAGGAAACCGTTGAAAGGTGGGCATCATGTGTACCAGCATCCTATGCGAAGGAGAACGCACTCTTCCATGACGAACGTCGACGTCATGGGAATGGCAACGTTGGCGCCACTGCAATCTCCCACCGAGATCATGTCGCTTGCTGCGGTCGAATCTCCCGGTCCCATTCCCGAAGACACGGTGTTCTTCGCCAAGTCTCCCACGCTCCTTCACAAAGGCATCCCGCCCACGCAAGCGGAAAAGCCAGCGAGTCCCATCAAGAAGCGACCGCTTCCCAAGCCTTCGTCCATGCATCTTTCATCCCCCGACATCAACTTATTTGCCGAAATACCCTCCGACAAAGATTCGCTGCGCCATTTGGAGAGCCAACGATCTCCGGACGGTCTGGCGCTAGACGTCATCCTCAACATGCCGTCATCCTCAGGAGGCGGTCACCCTCCGTCGACAGTTGCGATGCCGGTGCCGCCCCCACCACCCCTTCCTCCCATGGTTCCACCTCCTCCTCGCGCAAAGCTGCTCCTGGACGACCGCAACCAACCAGCGCAAATGCAGTTGGACGTTGCTCGAAAAGCGCACATTCCGCTATTTCTCCACTTGCCACTGCATCCACCACGCAAGGACGATGGCGGGGTGCAGTCGCCCAACCATTCGCCGCATCCTGTGCAAGTTCCGATCGACGGCGCAGCCGCCGTGGTCGCGCCCGTCGGCCATGGATCGCACGCGATCAAGCGGCCGAGTCGGTCAAACTCGTTCAACTTTCGCATTGACTTCCACGAGCTCGCGATGGGCGAACTGATCGGGCAAGGGGCGTTCGGCACCGTGCACAAAGCCACTTGGCGGGGCACACTCGTCGCCGTCAAGATTTTGCAAGTGCAGCACTTGTCGCCGGACGTCCTCGACGAGTTTGAAACGGAGGTGCACATCATGAGCGTATTGCGGTACGTGTCAATCAAGGCTCGATGTGACCTGCTGCGCATCGCATTTCGAGATGCGCCGTCGGAATGTCCGTGTGAAGGCCATGGCGCTGCGGACCGCACGCTTGTGTTGGTCGGATGCGACGGGAGTTGACGCTGGCATGGTTCTTGTAGGCACCCCAATATTTGCCTGCTCATGGGGGCTTGCCTCGATCCTCCCACGCGGTGTTTGGTTGTCGAGTACCTGCCAAACGGGTCGTTGTGGTGTGTCCTTCGGCAGCCATCGTCCGTGAACATTGATCTGAAGAAGCAGCTGAGGTATGCCGCGGAATTCTCCTTCCCCCCGTGGCTGCATGTGCGCTCCGTACGTAGCTTTGCCATGGACACGGCGCTGGGCATGCATTACCTGCACACATTTGATCCGCCGATATTGCACCGGGACCTGAAGAGTCCCAACTTGCTCGTGGATGGCAGCTACCGCCTCAAGATCTCGGACTTTGGTCTCGCGCGTGTCAAGGCGCACCACCAGACGATGACGGGCAACTGCGGAACGACGCAGTGGATGGCGCCAGAGGTGAGGGGCGGCGGGTTGCGTCAAGCGGCATCGGTGTGTGCTTCAACACGACGGACATAGGTGCTGGCGGCGGAAAAGTACACGGAAAAGGCCGACGTGTTTTCGTTTGGCGTGGTGTGCTGGGAAACCGTGACGCGTGCGTGCCCGTACGACGGCCTGAGTCAAATCCAAGCGGCGCTCGGTGTACTCAACCACAACTTGCGACCGACGATCCCGCCGACGTGTCCGCCGTTCTTGAAGAAGCTCATGACGGTGTGCTGGGGTCCTGTGCCGGAGAAGCGGCCAACGTTTGCCCAGATCATCGACATGTTGAATAGCAGTACCAATAGAAGTAGCACAGCCATCGGGCACACGTCATAGTTGAATGAGATGTCGATGAGCCCACACGAATCCACGTCATCCGGTTCAAGGAGCCCAGCTCGATTACCTCGTCGATTAGCGTTCTTACTCCGAGTACAAATTCCACACAAAAATGCTGCCTTCGTCCCCCACCGACACGAGCTGCCGGTCGTCCGGGCTAAATTCCAACGACCGGACTGATCCAGAATGCCCCACGCCGTCCATGATGAGCAGACCTATCGAGCAGAAACATTAGCACGTTAGCACAACCTGGGCAGGACAGAGTCGGCCGCGGATCCACGAAACAGGATTGCGAAGGGAAAAAGCACCGACCGGTGTCAAAGGACCACAACTTGATCAACTGGTCTGTGCCCCCTGTGGCGAAGTATGGCATCGTGTGCGCGACAGCCAAGCACGTCGCTTCATCTGCATGCGCCTACGTCAATGCAAAGGCAAGCGTCAGGAGGCGCGCTTGGCTCGATGCACGTCAAGGAATTGCAACATTGCGAAACCTCGCGTCGGCACAGCGTGACACGCATGAATCGAAAACGTTTGCTATGCACGGACCTTGGTGATGACGTTGACGGGGGCTTCGATGCGCAGATCCCAGTACGAAATGCGCTTCTCTTGGCCGACTGTGAGCACGATGCTTTGGTTGCGGGACAGTGCAATCGCATTCAATCCTATGTGTTGTCAGCATGATATCCACACAAACAATGTGCAGCCAGTACCCCCCATCCGTTGAATGTGCGCCGCAATTCGGCGCTCGGTGCGAAGCTCCCAGCACAGAAACGACTTGTCGCGACTGCAGCTGAGCAAGTGCACGTCGTCGTCGAACAAGGCGAGGCCCGTGATCGCCATCGAGTGCTCCTTCAAGTGCGACACCATGTCCCTCTTGCGGATGTCCCACACGCGGACGTCGCCACCCATTCCGCCCGTCACAATGAATCGCTACCATGCCATGGGCTCCTCCATCCACCCGATTCAAAAAAAATTCGATACCTGGTTGTTGCTCAGTACGAGCGCGGTGACGCCTCCCGTGTGGGCATTGTCAATTACCCACAACAATTGCCCCGTGTCCGAGCTGTGGCAGCGCAAGCATCCGTCTTGCCACCCCGACAGGACAATGTCTACAAGGACAAAGCATGCGCTTAGCACGGTCAAGCGGAAGGAAAACTCGGCAAGCGCGCAAACTCCAACGTTTGAGTCCGACGGGTTGCAACAAGCTTCATGCAACACCGTCGAGTCACGCGTCAGGGATAAATTGCTTGATGCAGAAGCGTACCGAGGGAAAACGCCAGGCACGTCGGCATGCCAGCGTTTTGAACTGCAGCGCGGACGACGACCGAGTAGTCGGAGCCGTCCCATATCCGAATCGTGCAGTCCTTCGAGATGGTCGCAAAACGGTCCGAGTGCTGCGGGGCGAACGCGATGGCCAACACGCCGTTCGAGTGGTTTTCACAAATCAAACGCGATGCCATCGATGGCTGCGACGGATGCACCGTCACGTGGTAAATGAACCCGCTTTGGGTACCTGCCATCACCGACCTACAGACGCATTTCGAATCCGACCCATCGACATCAAGTACGTACCCTGAGCCGGCCAACGGACTAAGCCCAGATATGGCGCCCACCAACGACTGCTTGGCAGAATCGACAAAGTCGTTGTTGAAAAATAGGAGGCTGCCATCGCCCCCACCAACGAGCACCCCTTCGTTCCATGCACACAGGGACAGGACGCCGCACGTGCATGCCGAGATGCTTTGAAGGAATCGGCGAGTCTTGACATGAACGACGGCAAAGTCGCCGCTTGTTGTACCAGCCACCATGGTCTCACGGTCCGGTGTAAACTGAACGCACGTGTAGTCTCGCACAACGGGCGCACCGAACTCGACTTTGTTGGCTACAAGTTCCCCCGTGATTGGGTTGAGGACCCAGAACTGGAGCATTCGAGTTCCTCCCGTCGCAAACAAGTACGAGGTCGTGTCGCGTCGCTTAATGTCACGGTGGAAGCCGCCCCAACACACGGCAAGCACGGTCGCTTGGAGTTTTTGCTGTGTCGTGACGATGTTGCCATTCGCCATGTCCCACAGGAAGATGCGGGCATCCCGTTCGTTGCCGACACTTACGAGGAGCTTCTCGTCGTGCGAAAATGCCACCGCTATCAGCATAACGTGAGAACGATGTACCGTTTACCACGTAGAAAGTGGGTTTCCCAATGTGATGGTGCGTACCGTTGATGCCGAAGTCGTGCTCGGACAAACGAAAAAGGAGCTGCCGTGATGCGTAGTCCCACACGAGGATATCCGCATTGGACCCTGCCTGTCCCGACGCGAGGTATCGCCCGGTGGGCGACATCGTAAGGCACGTAATGTTCGCGTCATGGCCGCGGAGGAATACTTGGTTGTGCGGGTCACTCAAGGATGCAATTACGATGCAACCACCCGCAGGGTAAACGTAGTCCTGCCCGTTTGGGTGGTAATGCAGCCCAGCAGATATACCTGAAAAGCCGATGGCGTGCTCAAGCTCCATGGTGGGGGCACTCTTTTGGTTGTCCATCGTCGAAGCGGCGGCCGTCGTGCCAGTGCTGCGGAGGAATACAAAAATAGATTCCTTCGTGTAACAGATCCTTGAGTCGGTCGAATGCGCAAGCGAGCTTGAGTTGTTCAAGTCACGCCACGGACAATAGCGTGGGGACTCAGTAAACTGCCGATTTGCTCAAGCACTTCCGTGGCGTTCGCCTTGGCCTTGGTCGTAGAGCGAGCCGTGCATCGGGGTTTGCTGTCGGTCCCAACTTCCAAATCTGTGATGCTCGGTTGATTTCGCGCGTAATATTTTAGTTGATGTCCAACACAATTATTTAAATATCACGTCACTATATACTATGCTGCTTATATCAATAGACTTTGTAATAAATACAATTGCGCAGCCATAAAAATTCAACGACGACCAAAATCGGGACGCCACACCGCAGATGGAGCAGTCGCCGCCGTCGACGTCCCCAGAGGCGACGACACAGCCGGAGTCGACAATGAAGATCCTTATTAGCACAGACAACCACCTTGGTTACAACGAGAATGACGCAGTTCGGGGCAAGGATTCGTTCCGGGCCTTTGAAGAGATGCTTGCAATCGGCGGACGGGAACAGGTGGATTTTGTCCTGCTTGCCGGCGACCTCTTCCATCACAACAAGCCGAGTCGCGCAACGATGTACCGCACGATGTCGATTCTTCGCACGTACTGCCTGGGTACGTCGATGCTGATATTCACATGCTAGCTTGTTGGGGCTCTCACATCTCCTTTGTGCAGGAGACGGCACGATCAACTTTCAAATCTTGTCGGACCAGAGCTTGAACTTTCCCAATTTTGGACAAGTCAACTACGAAGACCCCAACATTAACGTGCGTCTACCGATCTTCAGCATCCACGGCAACCACGACGACCCAACAGGGGAAGCCGGTCGATCTCTGGCGGCGTTGGACTTGTTGAGCGCGGCGAATCTGGTATCGTTATGCGAGACATCGTCCCCGTCCTCTTGATGCGTGCATTAGGTAAACTACTTTGGCAAGTCGGACCGAGTCGACGAAATCGAAGTGTTTCCGATTCTGTTGGAGAAAGGATCGACCAAAGTTGCAATCTACGGTCTCGGCAACATGCGCGACGAGCGACTGCATCGCATGTTTGCGCAGGGCCACGTTCGGTTTCGTCGGCCCGAAGAGAGTCCAGACTCGTGGTTTTCCATCTTTGTCGTCCACCAAAACCGCGACAACCGAGGACGCGGCGCCAAGAACTGCCTTCCCGAGAGTTTCATTCCAGAATTCATCGACTTTGTCGTGTGGGGGCACGAACACGAGTGCGTCATCGAAGCAGAAGAAAGCATCAAGGGCGACTTTTACATTACACAGCCTGGTTCGAGTGTTGCTACGTCCCTCGTCGAAGGTATCCCTGGTTCCCCCGGAGATGTGCTTAACCCGGCGTAGGGGAAGCTAAGCCCAAGAAGATTGGGGTGCTCGAGATTCTCGACAATAACTTCCGCTACCGCGCCGTGCCACTCAAGACAGTGCGGCCGTTCAAAATGGCCGAAGTGTGCTTGCGAGACCACAAGCACTTGGACCCGTCCGATCCAAAGGTCGGCGACAAGATATCTGCCCTACTCGCACGCAAGGTACGACGTAGTCCACAACATGCACCTTTCTTCGGCATCCATGCCTCCATCTGCGACGCTTGTTGACTGAGGCAGGATGACGTCCATCTTGTCTACTTCCCTACTTGCGTGCGCGCAAGTACCGCATGAACCTTCCATTTCGTTTGGGATATTTTTCAGCTTTACCAGTGAGAACATTGATGGTTGCCATTCGATCGTGTTGTAGGTCCAAGACCTGATTGACGAAGAAGCTGCCGAAAACCCTCGTGCCGATCGCCAAGACACTGCCATGCAAATGCTGGTGCGAATAAAAGTCGAGCACACTGGTACCATCGACTCCTTCAAAGGCTACCGCCCCTTGAATTCCATGCTGTACCACAGGGTTTCCTGTCCTGAGCAACCAGCGATTTGGCGGGCAATTTGTCGGGAAAGTCGCCAATCCGGCGGATATTTTGCTGTTTTCCAGAGGAAAAAAAGCTTCCGCCGACCCCAATGACGATACCAAGTCGACGACGTCGTCTGGCAGCTTGAAGAACCCGATTCGCCCGGGGCCGCCGAATGCAGCAGCGACTTCCATCCTGGGCGTCGAGCAGCTGCTGTCCAGCCACTTGGCAGGGTCGGAAAAAGTGCTTGAAATTTTGCCCGAAACGAATTTGGCCCACGCACTGGAAGACTTTGTCTTTAAGAATGTGAGCTCAGCGTTCAGCGACATCTACGACACAGTCTTGGAGGAATCGCAGGGCGCGCTCAAGATGAACAAGGGGACCTTGAACAAGCACGACATTCAAACACTCGTTGAGAAGAACCTGGAACGACTGCGAGCGGCACAGGCAGTCCATGCTGGCCAGAGCGCGATGGACACGAATGAAGTCATGCGCATGTTGCAATCTGGAGCTGGAAATAACGGCGACGACAACGATGGTTTGATAGACAGCGACGGCGATGAGCCGGACCAAGGCAGCGACGGCGTCCAGGTGGTCGACCCACCGAGGGTGGCGGCCAAGAGTCGTGGAGGGTCCCGGGGTGATAAACCAGCTAATTCGAGTTCGCGGCGGCCACCCACTCCTGCAAAACCCAAGGGAAAAACGAGAAAGGAAATGCACAACGCGTCCGACTTGGACGAAGTCTCTGCTTACGACGACGACGACGTGGTAAACTCGTCCGAGAGCGACTTTGACACCCCGTCGAAGAAGCAACCCCCGGCCAAACGAAAAGCAGCGCCGAAGCGTCAAACGGCTACGAGCAAGCGCAAACCCGCCAGAAGCCCCGATACGTCGCCACGACACCAACCGACCGCCCGCAAGAAACCCACGACGACGCAAAAGACCATCTCGGACTTGTTCTCCCAGACCAGCCACCTGCCATCCACAAATGCATGGCGAGAGGCAGGCGGCCCAACCCAGGTGTCCACTCCATCCAGTACTCAAGCCACAAGTCGCCGCAAGCTGCCGCTGTCGTTTTCGTCGTACACCCAAGATGACGAGGTCAAGTCGTCGGTGCAGCCGCCGTCTTCCGCGAAAGGATGGGGTCGGCCCCGAAAATAAATAGCCAAATACCCAGACACGCAGCTCACGACAACAAGTTTGAATGGAGTCCATCAGAGCGTGCCTTTCTTGGTTGTGGAAGGCGGAAGCAGTGGAGGTCCTGCCGATGGTGGATGCGTCAACTTCGACGGGTGATGATGGTGATGATGCTTATTGGCACCGTTGGCAGCTGCAGACTCGAGGCGAATGTCCGGGAACGACTTCTTGATGTAGTCACGAAATGTTTTCTCACTGGGAAGGCGAGACCGAGGCTGCCCGGCGTCCGTGGGACCGCTCAGCGAGATCAAGTGCGCGAGGTAGTCTTGATGGAGCTTCTCGTAAGTGATCGAAGGCGGCAGCACGATCAAATTGTCGGTGCGATAGAGCACTTGAGTGTGACCGTCCGTCTTGACGCGGGTCTTTCGCCGCGCTGGGACGGTGTGCCCGATGGACGTGGCGTACGGGTAAAACCATTCTTTCAACGTTGTGTAGTCGACACTTGTCGCGTTTTTGTTGGACATGTTGCCGTGCTTCTTCGGAACGATCGATGCAGACACTTGCTTGCGCAGACGGTTGAGCGACCCACCGGAAATGTCAAAGCACGCCTCGAACGCTTGCTTGCACACGTTGCCAAGGTAAGGCATGACGTACGTGTAGCGCGCGCGGAGACCCTTTCCGCGAGACTTGCGCTTGGTCGTCAACGCGATGCTGATGGAGAGCGACGTCAGGATGCACACGTGTTGCATTTCCTTGGTCATTTCGTCCAATGAGTCGATGAAGAGGTCCATCTCCTTCGTTCGACCAAAGATACATCGCTTCGCACAGCATGTGTAGTTCGTCAACTGGATGACTTTGGTGTTCTCCGTCGTGTACTCTTCTTCTTCCTCTTCGTCGCCGTCGTGACGAGGATTTTCGCGCAGTTGCCGGCCTCCTTGCATCGACACTTCGTCGCTGCTGTTCTCGTCGGGACAGTCCCCTCTTTCTTCTTCCACATAGTCCGAATCAGCAGATTCATCTTCAGGTTGCCGAGGCGCTGCTGCAGCGGTCTCTGCGCTTTTGGGGAGGGTTCGTGTCGGTCCCAAAGTCCCGTCCGGAGCTGCCGTCTCCGCCATGATTCTGTCCGTGTCTCGCACGTGACCAACAAATAAAAAAAATATTTTTTCGTGGGGCAAAATGTTTAGTGCATAAACACGCGCTTTTGAGCTCCCAAGACGGAACCAGCGTGTTTTGTCCACGTTGACAAAACAAGAATACACCTCACCTTGCTTGAATTGCACTGCACGCCAGGGTTAGTCAGTGCCCCATGATGCTGCTGCACAGCTAGCTGAACCTACATGACGTCCTTTTGGCAACACCTACCATCCCAATCATAGTTGGCAAGCCGCCATTCCTGTAGGTTTGGTGGCACGTCAAAGCGTTGGCCTCCGCGACGGCGACGACGAGTCTGTGTTGTCGATGCAGCGTTGGAGGTCGCTGCAGCAACCTGTCGTGTAAATTTCACGCCCGCTAATGTGTACCAGTACATGCATGCAGCATGGGAACTGGCTGCTCTTTGAGTCGGTGCAAGTTGAGAGAGGAGTCGATAGAATTTGTTGAGTCCGGGCTATCGTGGCTTAGCGTTCTCACGTGGATAGTTCAAGAGCAGCAGCGTCAAGCCAGCCACGTGCTCGACCCCTATATCGAGCCCAGAGTGCCGGGCCCGACGAATACTAGTAGTAGTACATGGAGGAGTATGCAGGCTGATTCTGGATTTGTCACGAAGGTTGACAAAAGCGGAAGGTGCAATTCCAAAAGCTACCGTTTCGCGTATGGACAATTCAACGCGACAATGCGGTCAGATTTGAATTGTTCTCGCGCCACAATGGCCCCCCGCTTGTCCTTCCTGCTCTTCGCCGTCGCGACAGCGGACGCGATAGTCCCGTGCGCCTCCAACATGCAAGTGTCTGTTCGGTTCACGAACGACATCTACTGCGTCTACACCCCTCCATGCTCGGGACTGCATTTGCCAGAGAAAACGGGATGCCCGACCAAGGGCGCGGTGGCGATCCACTCGACGAACATCCTCCAAACAGACACGTGCTGCGCCATCATTGACTCGAAGAATGCCGTCGGGTGTGTGATCCCTGTTCCTGGGTCGACTCAGTGCATCGTTGGGCCAACCACTGTACCGTCCGCGCCTGCAACGACCACGTATGAGTCCGCCACACCGTCCACCTGGATATCCACGATCGTCCCCGTCTCGACATCGGCGTCGTCTCCAGTCACCACGCGTGTCACTGCTCCAAGCAGTACAAGCAGCTCTATTTTCCCAGCCGCAAACACCCCATCCTCCCCGTCGACCGCGATTGTTTCCAGCACCTCCACATTGAAACCCACGAATGCGTCGGATTCCAGCGGAGCGTCAAGCCACTCCATCACAGAGCCTCCGTCTAACAAAGGCACGCCCAAGCCATCCACGTCGCCTTCCATGACGCTGCGAGTTGTGGTGTCCATCGTTGCAGTTGCCGTGATCTTGGCAACGATCTAAGCTGCCGCTGGCATCATGCTCTCTTTGTCCACTTCTTGCGTGTTCATTCATCCGGATAACCCAGATGAAATCCACCAATCATGCAGTGTCTAGTGTCCCTTTAGCCAATCATATCAATAAAAGGCTTCCTGAAGAGAGTTTTATCCAATCAGAGGGCATTGATCCGGATATCCAATTAAAATCGTTTCAACCAGAGATCTTGAACCGTCGTCGACCTCGACGCGAGCCGCTGCCGTCCGATGCCATCCGAAAACAATGACGATATCGACTTCTCGGAGCGCCAGCCTCTGTACGAGGGAAAGCCACAGTCGCGCCAGTGTACGGTCGCCGGTATCGTGAGCACCAAGCAGCGCCGTCTCGAAGACAACGTGATGGAAGAGGTCCCGATGTCGTATAGCACCAACAGCAATAAAGAGCTCTTGTGTCTTGAGTACGTCGCGAACTTTCGCAAGCAGTTTGATGACCTCATGGACGCGTCCGACATTCGCCGACCGCCATTGTACTTGTGTCCTCCGAACGAGCGAGGGATCCCCAAATTTGTGTGCACGACGCTCCGCCCGACGCTCCTTCCCTTCCTCGACCTGTACGACATGGACAAACTCGCGACGTTCGTCTCTGGCCTCATTGAATACGAACCCCTCGTCGACCCATGCGCGCCACCCGCGTGTTTGCCATCCCCGTCCGCTGTGTTGGCTTGGCAAGCTGGCGATTCCTTCGACATGGCCAATCTATTGGCAAGTTTCTTGATCGGTGCAGGCTACGATGCGTACGTGGTACACGGGTACGATTGTCTTGATGCCGTTGTCTAACGTTTCTCATGCTTTCGAATGAGCACAGGAGAGCGCCAAAATGGGTGTGTTTGCTGGACCAGAGCCAAACCGAATGTCCGTATCTGGCGGAGACGGCCCCGACCGCCAGCGGCACGACAACTACCCCACCCGCCGCCACGGATGCGACTGCTGCCCCCAAAGACGAAGGCAAGAGCAAGTTTGTAGCGATGCAGGAGGCGAAAGAAGCAGCCCGACGCGCGGAAGAAGCGGCGCGACTCGACTGGACCAAGCACATGGATGTCGAGGACGACGATGAAGATGAGCTGAACGGGAAACGGGTGCATGCCTGGGTCCTCGTTCGTGCCGGTCGCCGCGACGGTACGCCATGAATTGGGTTGATCCGTCCCCATGATGATGCTATTGTCTTCCTCGTCTGCTTCGTTTCCGTGCATCGATGCCGTGTTTGCCGCGTTGTCGTCGGTATGGTTTTGAAGTGCTTCTCCTCTGTCCATCTCCAGTGCATGCAATGACAATCAAGCTTGTAGTCACGGAGCATGTGTACTTGGAGCCATCCACGGGGCGCAAGTACTCTGTGCGTGAGTCGCCGTATGTCCGCATCGAAGCGGTGTGGAACCATCAAAACTATTGGGTCAACATGCAAGTGAGCAGGGGCAAGGACGCGTCGGCGACGTGCGCCAACACCCTCTTTGACTTGAGCCACGCAACGGACTGGGAGTTTGTGTTTCTATCAGCGCACGACCGCCGGGGCGCGACCAACGGCGGCGGGGGGTTGCACGGCGACGGCGGGGGTGGCGAGTCCAAGCACGACGACCTCGATGTATGCCATTTTCCCTCGATGGGCTACGTGGTGGCATTGTCTTTTTGAGGCGGCGAGCGTGGTGGCCGCTTGTACCGCTCCGTTGGATGGACGGCACGTGTGTGGCTGTCTTGAATGGAGGTTGCTGTGTCGTCGGCATCCTGCGCGAGGCTCTGCGCTTTGAATGTAGTCTCGTCCCACGACGACGCAGAGTTGAAGCCATGGCGAGTTTGTGATTGCGTGGCTATCGAGACGACGGAATGGCCCGTCGGCACAACGATTCTCATGCCGAATATGGCCTACGTAGGGTTCTCGTTCCGATAACAACAGCCACCACCACCACCACACCCACGACAGCCACGACGACAACGATCCAGACAACGCCGCCGACGACAACGTGCTCGACCTGCCACCGTCATGGGTAACCAAGCTCCACGTCGAGCGCAAGGCGTACAAGCGTCGATTCGTCACGGATGGCCAGCGCACGACGCTCTTCCGCAAGGCCAAGGTCGAAGAGTTCGCCGAAAACAGCCACAACCAAGGACTAGTCCTTCGCATTACGCAGTTCCGCAATGTGGCGCGGACGTTGCCCGTCCAAGTGCGCGAGGTAATTGCTTGTCGGGGTGGCGGCGCGCGCTGGGCACACGACTGATGGACCGGTGGCAGGTGTTCAAAAATCGAAAGGACAAACTGCACCTGCGCATACGCTACCCGCTTGAGGGCAAGTTTGACGAGCACTTTTTACCCGGGCGCGTGCCGGAAGCCCTGGCCAAGCGGACCGAGTGGAGTGGAGTTCGCCGCGACCTCGGCTTCTACACAAGGTAAATAGTTATCTTGTCGCTCTCTCCTCCATGCCGTGCCATCCAAGCACCGCGGCTCAATCGTGTGTGTTGTCGATGCAGCGCTCGGATGGACGGCCTTGTGACGCGGGAAGAAGTCATTCACAAGCGGATTGTCGAAGTTTTCCAAGGGCGAGACGACTTTCTCGTTGGGCGGTCGGTTGCGTTGAGCGAAGACAAAGAAGAGGTCAAGAATGGGGCCGCGACGTTTGTGTTGCCGGGCGGCGCGACGGGAGAACTCACGGTGCTCAAGATGGCGGAAAAGTTCGACCGGAACGAGCGAAAGGATGCGGACGAGGTACGACTCGAGCCGCGCCGATGATCGAGATGGAGGCCATTGCCGGAGGCCATGCCTTGGAAGCTTGCCGTCTTGGACACTGACGCAGGTCGTCGTAGGATGCTCGCAAACGCACATACAACGTTCGCGACGGATCGATCCACGTCCAGTTCCATTATGCGGTGGGTGGAGGCGCCGTCCCATTGCTCGAAGGCTGACGCGGAATTGCCGCCGTTGGTATGCAGGAAGGAAAGATCACGTCGGGGGCACGCATCTACCACAAGGCACCGGGCACCCCCGTCGAGGTGCTGCAGGTGGACCCGATGGCGACGCGGCCCAAAGAGTCGATTTTGGAACGAGAGTTGCAAGCGTCGATTCAGGTGATGCCGACCCGTGTGTCGACTGTGTCGCGGCTCGATACGCGTCGACGTCGATCGCGCTTTGGACCGCTGCGTTTGTGTGGATTGGCTTTGATGCGTGCTGTGCCCGCCGAAGGCGTCACGATCTCCGTTGGATTGCAGATGGAAAAGGAGTGTTACAACAGCATTCGCCATGCCGACGTCGAAACCCAAGAGATCCTCAAGTTTCGGCGCCGCGAAGAAGCCACGATCGTTCTCGAGACGAGCATCTTTGATTCCCACGACGACGAAACCAAGCAAGATCGCGTAGACGATCAGCGCAAGGCCGGCAAAGATGTACGTGCCGAGACTTTTCCACGCACGTGGGGGCGTTTGTTTCATCGGTCTATGGCTGCGGCAGGCGAAGGCGGACATGGACTATTTGAGTCCGTTTCTGCTAAGTGTCGCGGGCCACGGAGGTGGCGGAGCGTCGGCAGGCCGGCAGCTCTCGCGGGACGAGGCGCATTCGGTGCGGGATTTGTGCCTGAAGAACTTGAAGGAGCGGCTGCTGGAGCGCGCCAACATCATCCAGACGCGTCTGGACAAGGAAAATGCGGCGCTGGCGAAGAAGCAAGCTGCCTTTCAGCGCAGCCAGCGCGAACATGACCAAGGTACGGCCAACAACCGACCCCACATCTCTCATCGGGATGGTATTCAGGCACGGACGAAGAATTTGAACGGTTTTGCTCGGAAACGATGTTTCGCATCCAAATTCTCGAGCAGCGGCTCACGCGACATGAAGAAACCGCGCTGCAAAAGTACGCCGAGCTCGACCAGCGGCTCCACAACGACGCACGGCTGGCCGTGCTCCATCAGTAGTTTGAGGCCGTCGTGCGACGTCTGGGGAGGCCACCGCGCTTGGTACTACGACGAGCGATCCTCAGCCGCTCGTTGTGTTGGGTTAGACAAACTAAATACGTTTTGTGTACTGGAGGGGTTGAGCTCACAACGTGAACAACGAGCTATTCATGGCACGTCCGCTCCACGCATCACTGGCGCCCTGGGACGTCGGGGTGGGTGCATGGCCTTCCAACATGAGGGTGTGCAGACATGGAGTTGTGTGTGCGTCGATAGCTGACACAGGCCAAGCATGCAGGCACTGGCGATGCATGGCAGTCGAGACTTGGATTGGCGTTGGCGCGCATGTGTCCAAGTTACGGTCTTCCTCGTTCGGTGGCCCGTGCGTCCGACTGAAGCATTCAATGAAACCGCGCGTCGGCTGCGCCACAGACATCTAACGGAGAGGATTTGTCGTGGTGCGAACTAGACGAGGGCTTGTGTTCCGCAGTGTAGATACTGCAGTGATGAAGACGACGTCGATGACGTACAAGGCAGCGAGCACTCGGACGAGCTCAAGGAAGATGGCCAAGACAAGGACCAGAACAATGCATGTGATTGAGCAACTCATGCGCAGGTAGACAGCCCTGAAGACAACGACAACGCGGTTTGCATATCCCCAAACGTCGAGACTGCACACACGGTGTTCAAAGAAAGACTAGAGGTCTCCACGATTGCACTCAACGACTTCTTCAAGGTAAAACTTTGCAATGGCGGCAGTCCAGGCGTGGACCACATCAGCTGAAAACAGCACAAACTCAATCACTTCGATCGAGGTGTCGGTCGAAGCAGCACGCAGACATGCGGACACTGCGACGATGGCCGCGTCCGCGAGAGGATACCCAAACACTCCGCAGCTGATGGCAGGGAACGCGATCGACTTAAAGTTGTGATGGGCGGCCAGCGCCAACGAGTTGTCGTACGAAGCAGCGAGGAGCGGTTCGGATTGAGACTTAGATCGGTATATCGGACCGACGGTATGGATGACATGCTCTGCTGGCAGTCGAGACCCCCCTGTGAGTCTCGCTTCGCCCGTGGGGCATCGAATGGATGTGCCACTCACTGGTGCCACCTGTTGGCAAGCTTTGCGCAGGGCTGGTCCCGCAGCGCGATGAATAGCGCCATCCACGCCACTGCCACCTAGCATCTTTTCATTGGCAGCGTTTACAATCGCGTTTCCTTTCCATCGAGTGATGTCCCCCATCGACACGACGAGCGTACACGTCGGCGAGAGGCGGTAACTTCGCGGCAACATCGTCAATGGAAGTGGCGGCAAAATCCGTGAAACCGACATCAACCCCCTTAGGTACGACATTGTTTAGCTTGTTGTTTGTATACCCAATGAGCTCCGGATAAGTCAGGTCCTTGCAGACTTAATCCGTCTTGTAAGCCAATGACCAACATTCGTGTGTGGACGTCAAGGGTTTCACTTGTCGAAAGTATAGGAGAGCCAGCACATACTCGACAGTGCCAATAGAGAATTTACCATCGCAAGCACTACCATCGTCACTGAAAATCACCATACCACGCTTGCTCCATGGTCTTGGCCCCACGCGTGAATCCTTATCGCATGCTGACTCTTGAACAGCATAGGGGTAGCACGTGATCACTGTACAGTAACGTATTGAAGTGGACTTGAAGAAATGTGTGCCAAAGTTGTGCTAGAGAGCCGGAATGTTGGTTCTACTTTTACGAGGAATTTCCTCTACATCATTTACGCCGACATGGACGACGGCCACCATGCCTACCGGGCACGAGGGATGGAGGCATTCGTCGTCGCGCTATCCACACCTTTGCCGCCCAACATCGTCTTGTTCGCAGCGTTTGCAGATTGCCCATTCGGTGATGCGTCCCATCAACACCACCAGCTCGCATGCCCCCAACATATGGAAAGTGCGCGAGACTCTACCACTTGGACCTGTAACCTGCTCGGCTAAGTGCGAATATCATTGAATAGTAGTACTAGTACTAATAGTACCATGCAGTAATAACAAATTGATCAAATAGATGATTTCCTGGCGCATGTTTACTACGTAGTATGTCATTTTGTATATATCATCCATTCAAATCGATTTGTAAATGAAGATAGATGAGTGCATGGACACTGACACATATCGAGCCAGCATCGAAAATTCACCCACTTTGGAAATGACGTGGGAATTGGCAATTCGTGCCGCAGTTGGCGTCGTCGTGAGTGCCTTGGCGGCGTACCGCGGCCTCAAGAAGCGCTCGCTCACTCGAGGCGGTGCGTTCTCCGCGATTATTGTCGGCACTGTGTCCATGACGTGCGGCTACCGCTTCGGCATCCTCCTCCTCGCGTTCTACTTTTCGAGCACCAAGCTGACACATTACCAAGAAGACCGAAAGGCGACGCTAGACGCGAGCGTGAAAGCCGGCGGCCAACGATCAGCCATCCAAGTCCTCGCGGTGAGTCTCATTGCAACATTCCTAGCAGGGGTGTATGCATTTTACGTGGGTGAAGATCGCCCGCTCGACTCGGTGTCGTACCCACTGGCCACCATGTTGTGGGGTGCGTATATCGCGCATTACGCTTGCTGTGCTGCCGACACGTGGGCGTCTGAGCTCGGTGTGTTGAGTGCATCGTCTCCGATTTTGATCACGCGATGCCGCACCGTGCCTCCTGGAACGAACGGCGGCATTTCGCTCCTCGGTTCAATCGCGGCGGCCGCTGGCGGCACATTTATCGGTCTGCTCTTTTACCTGTACCACGTGTTCTTCTTCGTCCTGGCGTCGTCTGCAGATTCCGTGGTATGGCCTCAGCAATGGCCCATCGTCCTCTTCGGTCTTGCCAGCGGCGTCATCGGGTGTATGCTCGACTCGATTCTCGGTGCCACCCTCCAAAGCACCTACTATTGCACGCGCACGAACCGCGTGGTGCTGTGGCCGCAGGTCCCGACGTTCGACGTGATTCACATCAGTGGTTATGACATCCTGACCAACGAACAAGTGAACGTTGTGAGTGTTGCGCTGACCACGATTCTTGGAGCGCTGGCGGCGCCGTATGTCTTCTAGCTTTTCCTTCATCCTATATCGAATATCATTGATCATGGCGCCAGCAATTCCATCATGCGCGAACCGCTCGCACGCACCTATCTTCGGGGAATGCGCTGACCAAATAGAGCTGCTCGGCCAACTTCACTCTGTGCAATGTGGGGTCTATCGGTTCCCGGAACCCTTCCGAGGATCGACCACAAGAATCATTCAGTGCAGCGGAGGGCGGACTGCTTTGTCGACGAGCTGCGTCAGCCACAACACTCTGGCACGCACGATCACGCGAGATGATGGCATCCCGTGCACCCCCAAGAGGTGGTAGCGTCGCCAATGTTTGACCAAGCCAGCACCATCAATGGACCCAACTTGATCCATACGAAGCGGCATGTTTAAGACAACAGTACGCCGGAGCAGTGCTAGCATCCTTCAGCTGTGCTCTCTCGTCGTCTTTCCTACGAGCGCATGGGCATTCCGAACCACTGTTGGCGCGGCAGCGCTCGCATAACCTCCACTGTTCTCTCTCATTGTGTGTGTAGTATATCCATGGAATTTTCCATGGATTTTCCATGGAAACGTCCTTGGTTCAACTGGGACGTCGACAAAGGTTGAAATAAGTTAAGAGCATGGCCACCAAAGCAACTACGTTCGAGGGTCGTCCACGATCAAGTAGCGCGATGGCAGAGTATGCTCGTGTGGAGATGTCAGCCTGTCTTTCGAGTTGAGCACCATGAAGCCTCGGCTACACTGCGTGTAGCGGTTCCAGATGACGGCCTCGTCAACGAGCGGGATGTGGTGGCCAAAGTGGTGGTACTGATCGGGCAGGAGCATGCATCGGCACCGCGCCAAGTCGACGCAGTCGCCGCGCCGTTTCATGGGGACCCACACTGACAGCGCCCTGGGACCATCGTAAGATCGACCGTCATGGCGCAGCAAGCGACTGCAACATACCGCTCGAGGAAGTCGACTTCAAATTCGCATTCGTCGCACTCGACGTACACACCCACCACGACAAACTCGAGAAACGAGAGTTGGCACGATCTTGGTGACCCTGGCGCATCGACAGCATGGCCATTCCACGCCAGGATGCGCGGCGTCATGTCGATCGAGGCAGCGGTCGCGGTCGGTTGCACCTATATCACAACGTCCGTTGTAAGCCAACGATGGGGGTGCAGGATGACCAGCGCGTCGGTCGGTGCAGATCTCGATGGCAGAGCGTACCACAGACACCACGGGTCCGTTCTTGAAGTGCACGTTGATGTCGGCCAACGCGACAAGCACAACCCCCGGGGACAGATTTTGCACGACGACGCGGAGTTGAATGAAGTTTGTGCCCGCCGCGCGGATGGTTTTGCAATCGGATCGGTGGCCCACCGTTAGCCTACGACACATTGCTTGAGTTTCTTTCACCAACAACGCATTCAGAAGGGAGAACGAAAGGCTGCCGCACCACGATTCGACGCCATCGCGGCGGCTGTGACCCCACGTGAGTTTGTCTGGCATGGTGTACGCGCCGTGCGGTTTTTGACCGGCCACCTGCAAGTGGCGATAGAGGCCCACGTACGAGTGAACGCCGTGGCGTGTCAGGCGAAGAAGCCGCGGTGGCATGCGCCATCGAGCCATGCAGTACGGCAACCAGATCCGGTCCATCGTGCTCACGACCGCCCACGCCTTGGATAGCTGTCTCGCTTTCAAGATGGATGCGGGCGTGAGGAAGCTAAAGACCAGGACGATCTATCTACACGTGTTGGCCGTCGGCTCGATCGAGTCTGCGTACGCACCAGTTCGTCGCTCATGTGAACAAGCGCTTGCACGTCCATGGCTGCCACCCCACAGACGGGCGACAAGGACGAGAGCGGCGCCGACGTCGTGGAGCTCGGCTTCGTCGGCGTCATGTAGATGACTGAGCTCGCCGACAATCGCCAACTCGCCACGACGGCAACTTGAGAAGTCGCGGTGACATGTGTCTACAACGCTTCTGATTGGCTGAATCGAACTCGACGCCCCAAACGCTAAAGTCTGGTGGCAAGCTGTAGCTGGTCACTTCCTGGATCGGCGAGCTGTGGCGGCGCCTCGAGTCTTCTCCGGGCATGGCCGGGGACCGCGTGGCGTTCGCCGGTGGGGAATGGCTGAACTCGTCGAGGGCTAGATATATTTCATTATTCGTGTGGGGCATCGTCGCCACATTCGGTTTGCAGGCGCTCCAGATCGCTGATCGCGCGTTGCCACTGTCCTGCCTCTGCTGTAGCTCCCCGCAGCTCGAACTAGGTTGCCTATACTGCTTGCCACATCGATCGGGACGATCTTGACGCACGCCGACTGTCGACCTGCATTGCTTGCCACGCAACCCCACGGTAGTTGTTCGCTGGCTTTACAGTGACGTGGCCCGTCTAGGCTGGACTTGGTCCCCCTCGCTGGATTTTCAATACGTTTTGCATCGCGATGGCCACCGCAGCACGGACCCACGACTCTGGTGTAGTCGGGACACTGGATGCACCAACACTTGCGGTGGCTTCGATGGCTTGGGCCACTTGCGCTCGTGCCAGCTCGAGGCTGGCCTGCGACGCTCGTTTGCGTCGCGACTACGTCACCACGGCGGATGCCATGTGCTCAAGGCGGTCGCGGAGAATGGCGTCCTGTCGTACGTACCGGTGGAAAGCGATGGCGCTGCTCTCTGCGAACCCGTTGATGCCGTCGCTGCTCGACCTTCATCTACACCCGTGGAGAGGCTCTCCGCGACAAACTCATGTACCTCCAACTGCCGCTGCCGCTCCGCTTTTTGGCGCAGTCCTTCTTCGTGGTACGCGGCACACGAAGCCGTCTGGCTCCCCCCGGTCCGTTTCACGTCGTCGGGTCTGCGCTTTGCGTCGTAGAATGCTACGCGAAACACGTTTGACGTGTCCGTCGCTAGAGCGGGTGCAGCCACTGCATCGCCTAGATCGCCTCGTAACATACCAGGTCGTTGACGCATGGAGGAGTCGGGGGAAGTCTTTGCCGCAGCGATGGGTATGGCGCCACGGCTGGGTTTGGCTTTCATTTTAGCAGCAGTGCGTTCAGTCGAGTTGTCGGGGGGCTTGCTCGTCGCAGTCGGAACAAGGCCAAAAAAGGACGTGCGTCGCTGCGCCGCCGTGAGCGGGAGCGACGATGACCGCGCTTTCGTGTTGCCCAGCAGGACAACGTTTGTCTTGCCTGGCGCGTTGGAAGGCGAGAGCGTTGGAGGGGGCAATGAAGAATGAAAGGTCGCCACGGCCGGCAGTGCGTTCCCTGCCTCGCACTCGGCATGGCGAGTGTACCACACCTACAAACCCCATCCATCACTGACGAACGAAACGACTCTGTCGACGAAAAGCTCGGCACTCTGCAACACCGCACCACCAAACACACTGGCAGACGCAATCCCCCCGTCAGTGCCCACTCCACAACAACCCTCGTAGGCCGGTCCATATTCCAGCCGCGCGCTTCCCCTCGAAGCACATGGCGGGCAACGAGGTGCTGCGGCGACGTCCAGGCACTTGAAACCACAACAAAACGAGTCCGCCGATGCAGGCTCGGCATGCAACCCCATCGAGCAACCAGCGGACCTTGGGGTTTTGGGCAAAGAACGACACGTGGTCAATCACGTGCTCAATGTGTTGGTCGGAGTCGTTGCGGGGGGACGTCATGGCAGCGATGCTGCGGCGGGAGTGGATCGCCGCCTCGATCGAACTTCGCCGGCGAACGAGGGCCGCGGGTTTGCTCACCAGGTGGAGTGCAGTCGCCTTGCGCCAAAACCTACAGGCCGAGTGGTACCGACGTCGTGCGGTGTTCGACGCACCGCAGGATGCCCAGCATCGTGGCGACCTGCCAGCTCACTTGAACCAGCACGCGGTTGAGGCGACGTGCGCGAGCCTGCACGGTCTGGATATCGCCGACGTTGCGCCGCACTTTGTTGTACGCAACCCGCCACTTGGTCTGAATTGCAATGGACGCCTTGATTAGGTGGAGCAGCGACGTCGAGTTGTTGTCGAGGCGTCGGGACTGGTTCGCGCGTTCGTCGTTGCAGCCGTGACTGTGCTGGGTTTTGTGCAAAGAACGAAGCCCCAGGACCGCGCTGGCCTACGCGGACACACGTCCTGAGTCGTCGGGTGGGGTTTACCCGCCTCGCACAACGAGGCATCGTACGACAGTCGTTTGGAGCTTCTTGGTTACGTACGCCCGCCGACCGATCCGCCCTCGAGCGATCCGTTGCAGTTGGATCGCTGCCTTCATTCGGCGCATGCCCCGATAGACTTCTACACACAGCGCATGACGCGGAAAGCCACGAACGAGGGCGCGCGTACGTCGACCGAGGCTACCCCGATACATGCGCTGAATCGTGACGGCGCTCGTCGCGAGCATCTCGTCGACCTGGTTGTTGGCTGCCTCGCGAACGCGGCAGATGTACGCAGCAACTTCGTGCGCTTCGTTCATCTAATGCGGGTGTTGCATGGCAGCAGCAGCAATCGTTGAGCGGACCTCGGCGCGAAATATAGCCGAGGTGGCGTCGATACGAGCCATGCTCGCACGAATGGCAGACTACGCGATGTTTACACGCTGTCCACGACGGCAAGACGACGCCATACCAGCATGGCGCCAAATCCCTCGGCCACGAGTTCGGGCGCGTGGCAATTGTCGAGGTTGACGCGAAATCGATCGGGTTTCGGTCCATGGAGATCCTTTGTCATGGGAAGAAAGCTACGATGGGCGATGTGGGACGTTAGCCACCGCAGCAGTCGCGATCGAGAGCTGCCTTGGTCAAGAATTTGCCGGACCACCAACGTAACATGAGGCATTCGAACGTACTCGGGGTCGAGGTGGGGCTTCATGTGTAGTTTGGGAAGGGGTCGCGGGGATGGCAGGCCGTGGAGGGCCAAGGATGGCAGCGTTGGTTGTGGTTTCGAAGCATCGACACAAAGTCGACGTCGGTGGTTCGATGTGGCCGACAACGGAGACCCGACAGAGGGCGGAGCTATCAGAGGCAGCATGGGAATAGAGCAGTTTCATCGTTTCACACCGGGGCCTGCGCCAGTTACACGGTCGCAGAGGAGGAGGTGGCGGTGGAGGCCCCTTCCATGTTTACGCGAGACGTGGAAGGGGGGGGTGCCTGAACAAGATAGATAGCACGCCTCGGAGGGAATCGTTTGCCTAGAGCAGTGCCATGCAGGGAACAGGGCGCGGCTGCATGGAGGGGGCGTGCACCGAAGGAGAAGAGGGCCGGTCATCGCATCCTCCACGTAACGGGTAACCGTTCGAGAGCCCGGCCCCCCTCTCCTTCCAACGAACGGGGCGACCATGAAGTTGGACGAAGGAACTCAACCGGAGCGACCGCACCATCGGGATGCGAACGCGCTCAGCACGGAAGATCTCCGGTCCGAGGTACGAGCCGCCGGCCACCATTTTGTTGCCACCATATCATGTCTTGGGTAGATGGTCAGGTATGGCATTCCCGCCCACGAAAGCGTGCCGAACACGTTGGTGATTCTCCAAAAGAAGTTTGACGACGAGTTTGCCATGCACATGGCGTCGTACAACAAGTTTATGGAGCGCTATAGCCGCAAGAAGACCAAGGCCGAGTTGGAGGCCAAGATGGCTCAGGACGACGCCGACGACGCGGCCGCGTTCGACGCGAACCCAAAGATCAAGATCCTCGTCGAGCAGGTTCGTCCGAGGATGGCCTCTCTCCCTCGCGCTACCCGCCATCGTTTCCAGATCATTGCAAACGAAACCAGTGCCACGTTGATGCTTCGCGGCCTCACGGATGCATCAGCCCGCGCCGTCCTCCGCGTGCTCGGCCTCAACCAGTCCGTCATCTCGCTCGACTTGAGCAACAACGGGCTGGGCGACGCGGTCGTGGCGGAGCTCGCGCGCCTGCTACGCGTCAACAAACGGGTGGCTAGCCTCGACTTGGGCACGAATCGATTGAACGCCAAGTGCATGCACGAGCTGGCGGCCGCCCTCACCGACAACACTGTCCTCACGTCGCTAAGTTTGGAGGACAACCCGATCACGGCGCACGGTGCGGAGGTGTGCCACGTCATCGAGTTGAAATCGGGACGGCGACGTAGGCATCACGACCGACCTCAGTGGGTTTGACGCGCTGTGTGGGTACATTTCGTCGACGACGACGCTGGAATCGCTCAACTTGTTTCGCACGGGCCTCAACATGGAAGCGGGTCGGATCTTGGCCAAGGCGCTCCTCTTTAACGAGTCCATCTACGTATTGGGTACCGCGAACCTCGCGCGCCATGCCACATCGTTGCGATCGTGACGTGTAGAGCTCGGGGCCAACGCGGTGGCCGACAAGGAGCTCGAAGTGATTGCCACGCAATTGGCGGAAAACCGCCAGCTCCACGACGACATGGCGTCCAAGGTGTTTTTGAAGCGCCAGGCCATCGAAGCCGAGGCCAAGGCCCGCGCCGCCGCCCACGACCTCGAACGCGTCAAGGTCGAAACGCAGCAATGGCATGAAGCGAACGCGGCCGACCGCCGCATCCAGCACGAACTCGACCGCGTCGCCGACAAGAAACGACAGGAAGCCGAGGACGCTCGCTTGCGCAAGATCGCGGCGGATCGAGACATGGCGCGCCGACTCGCCGCGGAAGAGGCGCGCGTCAAGGCCGAGGCGAGAGCGAAAACGAAAAAGTAGACGCGCTCTCGAGTGTGCTCGACACGTCAGCCAACGTTGCCGTGACGCGAGCCATTTCTCTAGACTTGTTGGCGGCATCCTCGTGAAGCCGGTATTTGTTTCAAATATGCTTTCGTGGCGTTGACGCCTCGTTACCCTCGGCAGCGCACGTGCGGCGAATCCATCGTGCTCGTTGACATGGATGACATTTGGCTAGGCCCTTACATTCTAGCTGGGGGCAGAGGGGTGTCCGTGCCAGCAGCGGCAACACTTCGACCGGCGACGCCAGGCCAACCGGTCTTGGCTTTGTTCGTACAACTCGTGCGCGATGCCATCAGCTCGTGGAGGCGCGTTTCATTCGAGGGCAATGTTGTATGCCGAATAGAACGGGTGGCTCTTGGTCAGCTCTTGCGCAATGTCTAAAAAGTCGGGGATCGACACGGGCGTGTCCGAGTCGGATGCCTGCGCGCATCAACAAAGCAAGCGACGGATGGAAGGACGATACTACCTGCACGTGGACAATGCCTTGGTTGGCGATCGTCGCGGGCTCTTTGTACCAGTGGATGTTGAACGACTGGTTGTTCCACAAAAAGCAAATGCGGCGCTGCTTGATGACTTGACGCGCGTGGTCTTTTCGGTGGCGCACGGCGTACGCGTACTCGCGCGCGCTCAGCACGCGCTTCAGGTGGACGCTACAAGTCCGTCGTCGTGAGCGCCGACGGGCAAGCGCTTGCCAGCGAGAGACACGTACGGCTCGTCCGAGTCTTCCAAGTACCGAACGGTCGTCATGCCGTAGGAAGGGAGGCCGTACTGCGTTCGGCATCGCACAAAATCGTAGTCCTTCGTGCCTTCTTCTCGTGGCCAAGCCATGAACGAGCGTCATTTGAGGCCGGCGCGTACCGTCTGTCGTAGGCAACACGGACAAATACACCTTCTCGACTTCGAACTCTTCGACATGGATCGGCCACGAAGGCGGAAGCGCCGTGAGGAGGTACTTTTTGGCGGTCTTGACGGTGGACGGGAGGCCTGTCAAGTTGGCCGCCGTGCTGATGAGGCGCTGCATCTTCGATTCAAACCCCGTCGAGTTGTCTAGTCGATCGTGGGACGTCAAACGGGGAAATGGCAACGACGACGCACCAAACACGAAAAACTTGGGGTGGCCGATCCAGGCATGGCAAAGCCGGTTGTCCGCTTCGATCGCTTGCTCGAGGGTCTCAGATCGAGTAACGTTGTTCTCGAGCGAGTAGTACGACTCGGCGCCGTTCGCCGCCGTCACCAGGTGAAACACGGCATTGTACCGACTACAAAGCAAAGCAGACGTGAGTCGATGGCGTGCGAGCAATCCAAGTAGTCCCCACGAGTCGCGCAATGTAACTGTGTCCAAGTCATGCTGGCTCTTGAGCTCTTCCCACTGGTCGGACGACATGTACGCCGATCCGTCCATGGCGCCGCGATCGCACAAGATCACGCACGGGCACTTGGTGTCCTTGGCCAGCGACGTAAACGCATCCTCCAACGCAATCTGCGTCGATAGAATCTGCCATTGAAAGTTCATGACGTCGCTGGCCTTCAAGTCCCTGCATGTGGGTAGTTATGGCGACGCAGCATTGTATGTGAGCTGTACATGACGTAGGCGCCGCCGGTCTGGAGCAGCGTCGACGCTTCCGGCACCATGTACACGCGAAACCCACGCTCCCTGCCATCAAACAACCATGACGCAACCATCGTGCTCAAGACTGTGCACAGCACAACCGTACCGAAAGTAGGACGAAAGGCGGTCGAGCGACGTGGTCTTTCCAGCGCACGGGCCGCCCGTCAACACGAACTTGTAGATTGGGGGCGCGGACTCCGTGCCAGGCGTCAGCGACCGCATCAACGGCACACTCGTCGTGCCAGCACGCGGCCGGGTCTCCACAAGAACGTCGCCAGCGCCGTCGTCTGTCATGGGGGACGCGTTGCCAACCGCTCTGGTCGTATTCGAATGGCGCAGCCGCCGCCGTTTTCTTGAATTGGTTTTGTTTCATTGACCAGTGTCCTTCGAACTTCGATTTTCACCCTTGGATTACATGAAGTGGGTCGAGCTGGTCACCCACCTCCGACCACCTCCATCGACCTCGCCCGATCGAGTACTAGTCTGCATGACGCTCGGGGGCTCAGCCCCATCTAGCTCGGGAAGGCCACCTGCCAGCCCCTGACATCCCCAACGTGCGCGTTGGCCGTGCCGTGCCTGGCGACATGGCGCAGTCGCGCTTGTATGCGCGTCTGTAGATGCCACATGTTTGCCGCTCCAGCCGAGGAAACTGCGCCGCACTCTTCCCGCGTGGCTGGTTAAACTTCGATGTCACCTACCAACAGAACCAACCGTCGCCGCAGTTGAACTGACCCTGCTCGCCCGGCAACGCACCGTCCGAACGACAACCGCACCGTTGAACAGCTCCCTCGCATCGATCTGTTCAGGTTCAACCACACCGAGCAAACCTTCAACTACATGTATTACGAGGTTTGGTCAGCGGGAACGGGCTGGCTTGAGCTCGCCTTGCAACACGACAGTCCAAGTAGCGGCCGCATGAGCTCGTACGCCCTCGTCGTATGGATAGCTGACTGCTGCGCTCAATTGTTAAACGCCGTAAACACCGCTGGACATTGCAATGCACGAAAAAGCTGTCCATGAAGCCGTCCCTGGCCGTCCAATTCTATATGAAGGTCGCTGCCGTTGGAGGCAGCGACCTTCGCCACGTACCAGCTGACCAAGTCCTTGCATGTCGCCGTATGCGATGGTGACAGCTTGCTCGCACTCGGCTCGATGGTCGTTCTGTTGCTTGAATCGATGCTGAATGGCCGGCAGGCGCCGAAGTCATCGTGCTATCACGACTACTGAAGTTACGTGCTGTTTTCAAAATTCACCAACATGGGCGAACGGATAGTACAGTCTGGAACAAAATTATAGCCGCACCCAATATTTGTGGAGGAGACAGTCGTATGATAATCGAACAAGAAATCCAATGCTACCACTCGAAACGTCCTTTAATTTGACCAATATCTGACGCCTAAATCATCCGCAGAAGTCAACCGTATTCCGAGAAAATCAAAAAACTCGTTTTTTGGCTGGTGCAAAACTATGGCCGCACTGGCAATTTTCGAGTATAACTCGTGATGGGATGCTCTGATTGGCCTACAAAATGCATTAAATTAAAGCAGACACATCGCTGATGACATACATGCATCATGGCGACACCTTCACTTCCAAACAATGCCCAGAGGGGCAAGACTAACCCCCCACGAGGTTGGCCAGGCCCAGGCCTACAAATCTCTCAAAAAATCAAACCGTTGGATTGCGAATGCTCTACAGCGAAGCGAGAAAGCGATA